GGTGCAGCAACGACTATCTGGGGATGAGTCGGCATCCCCGGGTCCTCAGTGCAATCAGGTAAAATGAGACAGAAAAAGCAAAAGTCTTTTCAACCAAGTCCACCTCAAGACTCTGACTGGAAAAAAGCCAACCTAAAGCTGAATCCAGCCATTGGATCATTTGTATTATGATGGTAGATGTACATGTGGTTCTCACTTTCGTTCTGAATATAAGACACTTTTATGTATTTGCAAATTAGTGGGACTGTAACCATTATTTTGATGTGAACTTAAACTGAATTTGTAAGAGAATTTGTAAGAAAAAGATAGAACACCTTTGATGGCATGGATCATGTGCCATCAAGAGCCAGATACTTAATCCTTTTGTTCTGGATGTCTTCAGAGATGCCCTGGACCAGCACGGTGCAGGAGCAGGTGGGACCAGGAACATCTCAGGCACCAGTAACTTCCATGTGTCTCTGGAGAAAGAGCTGGCGCAGCTGCACCAGAAAGACGCGGCTCTGGTCTTCTCCTCCTGCTTTGTGGCAAATGACTCCACCCTCTTCACGTTGGCTAAGATGCTGCCAGGTAAATACTGACCTCTGACCTCGGAGCCAGAGGTCATATTAATGTATTCAGGTGATAAAAAGTATTTTAAAAAATTCATCACAATTGTCGTTTATTTTAGAAAAGGTGATTAGTATCTCAGGGTTGATACCATTCGGAGGGAAGTCATCTCCACTTGTTTCATGGTGTGTTCTCTGTGGTGTACAGGGTGCGAGATCTACTCTGATGCAGGGAACCACGCATCAATGATTCAGGGCATCAGGAACAGTGGAGCCAAGCGCTTCATCTTCCGCCACAATGACAGCCGACACTTGGAGGAGCTGCTGCAACGCTCCGACCCCAAGACACCTAAAATAGTGGCATTTGAGACTGTGCACTCTATGGATGGTGAGTACGATGAAATTATAATTTACAGTGATTTTTTATTCAATCTGTTTATTCAAGTAATCAGATATATGGTGGAGGGTAAACCTACTTAAGAAAAGATTAGACATTAATAAATTATATCAAGAGTCAAATGTAAATCAAAAAGATATTTATTTACTCAAACTGATCTAATTAATATGATGTTTACAGTAGTTTAATGCACAGTGGTGGCTATGTGGTTATAAACCAGCTCCAGCTCAGTCTGGTCATAATATATTTATAGTTTTAATAATAGAATGCTCCCAAAACTAAAAAAGGAATATACAATTGGAACATGAGCCATCATTTCTTCAGTTTTCTGATCAAGCACATCAACTGTTTTAAGTGCCTTTAATGAGAAGAAATGCCACTTGAAATCTGCTAATTTTACACTATTTATATTATGAATTAAGTCCATCAGTCATCATCAGCAAGTTCATGATTAATAGCTAAAGAGAGAAAGCCAAGTTGGGATATATATTTCTACAATCTATAATTATTCAGTCTATATTATCTGTCATTCATCACTGTCTCCCATGGGGGGAATGTTTCCCTCCTCAGCTCTATTTCTCTGTCTGATATTACACCGCTGACAGCTCCATAAAGCACAAGCTGAAGCAGACTGAATGTATGAATGTGAATATATCCAGGAGGATTTTTTAAAAGATTAACTCAAAATGGTCGTTTCGATATAAATGTTCTATGATTTGTGGATGTATGTGTAAGCATGTGGTTTATCATATCTAGATCTTACACAGTGATGACATTTGCAACACAGAGTTCCTGTTGTTCACCTATATTGCTCAGTTCTAATTATAACACACTATTCTCTGGGGGCTTGCAGGTGCCATATGTCCTCTGGAAGAGCTGTGCAATGTAGCTCACCGTTATGGAGCTCTGACATTTGTAGATGAGGTTCATGCTGTGGGCCTGTATGGAGCCCATGGAGCTGGAGTGGGAGAGAGGGAAAACGTTATGCACAAGATTGACATTGTTTCTGGGACCTTAGGTGAGTACCATTAGAATAAATCCACCTTTTTTCTTATTTGTTATAAAAGACGATACTACGACACTAGAAGGGCAAGGCAAACGGCTTCAAACTGCCGTAAGATTAATCGCCTCTCTTCTTGGCCAAACTCCCATATGCTCCCACTTGCATTAACTGACACTGTCGTATTGCCAACACGGCAGCAATAGCTCTCAACAAGCATGATAGTGCTCCAATGTTGGTTAAATGAGGGCAGGAGAGGAGTGAGCTCCCATCAGAGGAAGCAGAGGTTTTATCAGCTGGATGCCGGCTCTGCTCCCTCTCTGGTTGTTCTGATAAAACCATCATCAGGGAGTCCGTGCTGTGTGTAGCTTTATGACAACTGCTGGGTTTTAGGTAGAAATCCCTGTCAAACACACATCGAGTATAAACTAATCCTGGATTACAACACTTGACTTTACAAGGCTGTTTACTTGGTAATAAATAAATAACAAACTGAAATAACAAATTAATAGTGATGTATCAGCACACATAGTTCACTGTATGATTTTATACATTATGGTGGAGTCATTTAACTCAAAAAGTATAGTATTTGGGACTTCAAAATAAAACAGTGAGAGTTTAGTCTCACTATCTATTAAAAGAAACTAACAAAAGTAATTCAAATGTTACAAAAACATTGGTGTAAAAAAAAATACATCAACCTCAGCACCCCACAACATACAGACCCAGAATCAGAGCCATATTGAACAATAAACATATAATTCTACAAATTAAAAAACATCCTAGTTTCACCCATTTTATTTATAAAAGTACTCATTATACAGAATGGTCATGTTATTGTATAGGTTATATAACTGTATTATTATTATATCAGTTATATGACAAAAATATATATCCTATTGGGCATTTTAATCTGTAAAAATACAAATTGTATAAACTCATTTTACAATGTTGTGTACGTAAAATATTTATCTACAAAGTAACTAGTATAGAAAAAGTACTATAAACTGTTACTACTCAGTTAAGTATGTTACAAAAATACTTCCCAACACTGATTATTTCCTGTCTCCTCACCTCACATACCCTGTTATCTGTTCCAGGCAAAGCCTTTGGCTGTGTTGGAGGCTACATTGCCAGCAGCACCGCCCTGGTGGACACGGTGCGCTCCTACGCAGCCGGCTTCATCTTCACCACTGCCCTTCCCCCGATGGTCCTGTCTGGAGCCCTGGAGTCTGTCCGGGTCCTGAAGAGCCCTGAAGGTCAGGCGCTCCGCAGAGCCCACCAGAGGAACGTCAAACACATGAGGCAGCTGCTGATGGACAAGGGCCTGCCTGTGGTCAACTGTCCCAGCCACATCATCCCCATACGGGTATGAAGGTTTAGCAGTACTGCTGCCTCCACTACCATATCTCACTCCACCAACTTGCTCAACTGACTAGTACTTAGCAGTTGTAGTTATGTTTTTTTTTAGGTCCTAGCAATATTAGTAACTCTTTATATTTCAGGAGGAAGCACAAGTCTATGGGTAATCTCATTACTGTATCTACCACTCCTACCCTTCAGATTGTAGGCATTAAAAAATACCTAATGTTATGATGTATATGAAAACTATGGTAACTTACCATTTTAATCACTGTATAGATCTTTTTCACTTTTGACTCGTCACAGTAGGAAAAGCTCAGGTGAAAATAATAAAGCCAATGATGGGTGAATTCCATTTAGCTGCTTTAGTTTCAAGGTCCCGGTGTTGTGCGTGCTGTCACACTGTCATGACTTGCTGGGACACTTGAATAGAACAGAGCCATTATTGATGTTATTAGTAACACCTGTGCTTTTCCTATTATGACATGTCAAAATGTCTGCAGTGAAGAAGGCCTAATGTATTCTCCTTTATAACTAAGAGAGCATAGAACATATGGAGTCTGCCACCAGAATAATTTAACTTTTTATGTTTAATTATAATTCAATTTGTAATTCTTTAAAAGCAATTCTGAGAATTAGCATTTAAATTATGCAAACTTAAATGTTTTTGTGATAATTTATTTTATGATTAAATTAAATCAAATTATGAACACATGATGATTTGAATGCATAATTTGAACTCTAATTTAATTAATCAACTTGTAATTACTTTTGTAAATGCATCATATAATTATAGATAAATGCAGAATAATTCTTTAATAATTCCAGTGGCATATTCTTGACTCCATAGACCATATCAACCACAGTAATGGCTTTGATTCTCACATGTATGACCCCCATTTCCCTGAATAAAAAGCATCTCTTAAATGGCTTATATCATATTCATAATCAATTTTGTAGGTGGGTAATGCTGAGCTGAACACCAAGGTGTGTGACATCCTGCTGGAGAGACACAACATCTACGTCCAGGCCATCAACTACCCCACGGTGCCTCGTGGCGAGGAGCTGCTGCGTCTGGCTCCTTCTCCTCATCACCAGCCCGCCATGATGGAGTACTTTGTGGGTGAGTGTGGCAATCCTTACTGAAATTAGGTCAGAGTTGTTCTAGTAATCGTCCAATCAAGTTAAGTGTGAACAAGGGCCAGCACAAGTGATTTATGCTCGTCCTTAGTGAATCTCTTTGCTTTGTAAGCATATATGAGTCTCTTGGCATCCACCTGTCACCACATACTGCAATGCAGTAAAAATGACAATACTCTGCAAAGATCATATAAAATTGGTGTTCAGCAGTAGCAAAACTAACATGATAACCCTAGCTTGTGTTCACTTAAATGACCAGAGATGACATTTTAAAACAGAGAAGTAAAAATATATAATAAATAAAAATAAATATTGTCATTTCATTTTTCTTATAAATGTCTGTTTCATTCACAGATAAACTGGTGGAAGTGTGGCAGGAAGCAGGGCTCCTGTTGAACAGCCCAGCCACCGCTTCCTGCACCTTCTGTGACCGCCCGCTCCACTTTGACCTTATGAGCGAGTGGGAGAAATGCTACTTCGGCAACATGGAACCACAGTACATTACTGTTTCTGCTTAATACCACAGTACGACTAGCACCTTAACACACATTACACATACAGTTTATGTATAAATTTAATACTATATTCAACATCCTTTTAAATTATAAAGTGTTAAAACATTCTTTAATGTCAGTGGTTTGAACTAAATTCCAGTATTTATTTAGGTTTTCCTGTATTTATGCTTACTAAATTGTGTTTGCTGTCATGGATATGATTAAATAAAGTTGTGCGCCCTCCATTTTAAAAGCACAAAACCTGCACATTGGGCACTTTCTTAAATCTATTATCTAGGTGTGATGGTTTGAATTAAACTATGCTATACATGCTTCATATCATATAACCATCGTGACCATCATGTTTTGTGTCCACTTCCACAATAATGCAATTACTGATGTTTCAGTCGTAAAATGTATGAACGACTAAAGTTAATTGGTTTATAAAACAAGACATAATAAAACATTCAATAAATTTGTGGTGTTGAAAATATATACTGCTTTGTTGTAATTATAATGATGTGTATACAAACACTAGTGTTTATCCTACAAACTTAAATTGAATTTCGAAGACATTATATTAACCTGAAGCACCGTGTCCAAACATGACCTATAAAGGACAGAAGGATTTCTCATCAGCTAGGTTGTTCCTCCACAGTACGACATCTTAAGGTACAGGCACTGATATGGCTGCATTATCTAAGCTCGGCTGGATCAGCATTAGTTGACATTGCAGGGGCTGGTCACTTCTCGTTTGACCTTTGCCCTCAGTCTCCGGAGCTCTGCGTTTTCACTGTCCACAATGAGGCCACATTCAATCAATGTCGAAGCTTTGCTGAGCTGCTGCTCCCCATAATGCTGCAGCGCCACCCGCAGGAAGCACTCAGCCAGACGTAACCTCCCTAGACCAGCCTCTACACACTGGATGGTCTGGTTCCTGTGGAGCTCCAAGGCCCGAGTGAAGTCCTCCAGAGCAGTTCCTTCTCTGGAACAGAGCACCAGGCTGCGGCCTCGCCGACACAGGTCCTCCACCCAGAATTGGGGGTCATCTGAGCTGGAGTCGGACACACCATGTCTCTGGATAACTCTGTCAAGGTCAGTTATGGCCCGCTCGTGTAAGCCCAGCTGAGCGAGGCAGGCAGCCCGCTGGCGAAGATACTGGAGTCTGTGATTTCCCACTGCTTGTACTGCCACAGTCAAGAGTGTGAGGGCCTGATCCCACTGGCCACCTGATGACACACTGCTGGCCTCCTGTGCTGCTGCCTGCACAATACGGATGCAGAGCAATTAATAAGCACTTTCTGAATGCATAAATACTCTTACAATAAATTAGCTAAATTAAGTAAATATGTTGTTACCCTGTCTTGTAAGTATTGTAAAATAGTTTACTGAGGTTTTCCATCAAACATTATGCATACTTTCCATCTCTTCTAACCTTACTGTCCATTTCAATAAACTGTACATTTATTGTGATACGTTCAGAGAGAACTTCCTAAACTGATGAAGATGCCAAAACAGTTTTGTACAGTTTTGCTTCATATTTATTTTTATTTTTGATATTTTAGTCAAACATAAAAAGTAAATAAGAATGATACCATATAAAGACATCAGAAAGAAGAGATTAAATCAACATTTCATGCAGGTGAAATAAGAAAGGATCTTGAGAAAATATACAAAATCACAGAAGAGCTCAGCTCAGTCAGTTTGATAGGACTGAAAACCGTGAGTGAGTTTGTTATCCAACAAATACATAGTACATACCAAACTGTCCTAAACACAAAATATAAATATAAATCGTAAAGGCTTGTTTCATCAATCTCTGCAATAAATTATAAAACTAATTTGCTGACGATGGTAAAATAACAAATGTAGCCACCATAGCCACCACAAGCAACTTTGCGTCATTCTACACTAAATCTCGGATTCTTGCTCGTAGACTTACCTGTGCGACGCGTTTTCGCTGATTGAATGGGATCAAGGCCAGCAGGAAGTCCAGACTGGATGAATCTTTCTCAGACACTTTGCTGAGCCTGCGAGCTGCGCTGCGGTAGTTCTGCTGCCAGGCCTCCACCACACCCACCCTGGCCTGGGCCAAAGCATCTCTTGGCTCCTGACCAAACACCTGGCACAGATGAGCACCTGCTGCTTTAACTTCACCTGGAGCAGATGGACCATATCAGCAGGAGTAAGGATTACTGAGTCACATTCAATCGTTCTTTTTATCAGTGGAAACATCTGACCACACAGCCTAAACCATCATCTCCTAACCAGACCATTTCCAGTGACACCAAGGATCCCACTGGGAATTCAAACAGAAACGCTTGGCAAAGTTCCCGTCTCACCTTTGGCTAAGAGTATGTCCACGTAGAGGAGATGCCATCTGGGGTCCCTGCAGTCAGTCCTCATCAGAGCTCCGCCAATTATAAAAGCCTCTCTGAGCTGCTCTTCATGGCAGGGGACAGAACTAGCGGCCAGGATGTCTGACAGATTGGTCCGACAGAACTGATGCAGCCAATCACATACCAGCTTCCGTGCCTTGTCCTTGAGCGACAGGATGTCTTTGGTGACTATGTCAGTATTAATCTGAAGTGCTGCCAGGATATCTTGGGTGCATTCCTATGAGGAAAAGGCTGTTTGAATTTCATACTTCAATTGTACACCAATATTGCTGGTAAAAGAAAACAGTATTCCAGAAATTTGCCAAAATTACAAGATCTGAGCTACGGCGTGTTTTCAACTCGAGAATACCTTTTGTTGGTTCAGCATGAGATAGGTGAAGCCTCGTCCACAGAGGGCCCGAACATGTTTTGGGTGCTCCTTCAGAATGGCACTGAAATCAAAGATGGCTGTCTTTCGTTGTCCCAGCAGGGCATAACACCGACCTCTCTCCAGCAAAGAGTCTGCTGCCTCACCACCTTGAAAAATACAATTGTTTGATTGTCTCACAATATTCACAGCATTATGATATCAAAAGCAGTGATCCAAACACAGTTTAGTCACAAGTATGATAAGTATTGAAATGGTTTCTGCTCGGGAGGGCTGTCTTTTAAGTTAAATAATACAGAGTCAGTCTGCCTGCTTTGTGTTCAGTGTTTTGAAAGCTGTACCTCTACTGAACTGAACCCAAACACACAAAAACAATGTTTGATTTGTGCCAATCATTCTCTTTATCCCTGTAATCGTTCCCCGATTTAGATTAAAGTATAACCCGCTATTAATTAAGTCAACAATCAGAATCAGACCAATAACAAACATGAATATCTCATCAATCTGAGACTAATCACCAGAGGCCATGATAGCGATGGAGAGATACGCCACAGCCTCCCTGACAGCACTCTCGTCTCGTGTGCCCTCCAGGATGCGTTTTGCAGCAGAGTGGCAGTGCGCCTGCAGCAGCGCCCGATCTTTCTGTTGTGCCACCGCCAACAGGGGGCGCAAGCAGCTTGTATCGCCACACTGTATGAGCTTTTTCAGCAGCTGTGGGAAAATGGAGAGATATGAAAATCTTTATCTCTTTCACAGTAAAATTAAGTAATATTGTGTTGTTACTGTTTCACTTCAGAAAAATGTACACTACAAAATATGGTATTCGTTCGTATGGTAGTTCAGTTGATGATGATGATGATGATGATGATGATAATGATGATTTGGACTGTTCAAACTCTAAAAACACTTATTGATTAATGCTTAAATGGTGACAAAGGGCAAACCAGGCCCATCGAGTTTACCTTACACCCAAAAAATAAAACGCAATTGTAATTTTGGAGGAATGTGTTTGATATTTAAATTGAAGGAGATTCATAGACATTGTACCATTGTCTGTGACTAATATAAACTTAGACCTTTAAGTAGGGTAAACTCTATGTTTCACGCTATATCCCAAAAACACTGAAAATTCAATAATGAAAAAACCTGAATCACCTGATTTGTTGTTCTAAAGCTGATTGTACAGCTGATTACACTGTGTTAATGTGTCTTATGTGTCTGCTGACCAGCATCCTGTTGTTGCATCCAGTTGTTGCTTGTACTATATTTGTATTTGTATGTTTGTCCAGTGAGACAAATGCAGATTTGCTGTGGCACCAGTTTTACAAAGGCTACATCATCTCAAATACAAATTAAGAAATCTAATAAGAAGGGGTGTAAATGAGTCCTTGTGGTTCCCTAACCCTGGGGAGCAATTTGAGTAAATGAGAATAGTGCAGGCCTTTCTCACCCTAACCCTATCGTTTTCACTCAGCTCCCCAGTCTATTTATTATCAAGGGCCTGAGCATTTTAGCTCAGGCTACTGAAACAGGCTACATTGCAACACTGCATTAAAACTCAAAGCCTTTGCAACAGGTGTTATCAAACATTTTCATGTAAATGTAGCTCTGTGTAACAAATAATGTGAAAAGAGAAGACATTTAAAATTACAATTAGGGTTGGGAAATCACTTATTTAAACATTTGCCAAACCTTCACAGGGCATGAATCATGACAGTGTTAATTTTCACAATAAATAATAATGAAATTATTATTAATAATGTTGCCTCTGGACCTCACTTTGGGACCCACTGCCTCAAACCTACATACCTGATTGGTGTCATAAAAAAAGCCTCTGTGAAGCTGCAGCAGGGCGAGCCGAGCCAGTACGGGTGCACGAGGACTCGTGGACCCGATGGAAAGTAGCAGCCGGTAGGCCTCCTCCACCCGGCCAAGCTGGTACAAGGCATCTGCTGCCAGGATCTGAGACCCATCAGCACCGGGCTGGAGCTCCATCAGTAGCACAGCCAGGGACTGGACACCAGCAGGAGTCCTAATGCAAAGAGCGGGAAAAAGGACACCAAGAAAATGCATTAGTTTGAGAAACCATGAATGAGGACTTTCATTAGAACAGACATCATGAATTTAAATATGTAGTTTTATTGAGATTAGATTTAACCAAAGAACTAAATAAATTAACAAAAAACTTTTGGATAGGTCTTTTTAACTTGGACATTTTAACTTGTCATATAGGAAAAGCACATTTGTTATTAATAACATTAACATTGGCTCAGTTTTAATCAAGTGACCCAGTAAGCTATGGACATCATTCATTCTATTATTTACACCTGTGTTTTTCATACTGTGACATGTCAAAATCTTTACTAAAAACAGTCCTGCTGAGTACACTGTATGTAAGAAAAACATCATACCCTGATCTGTCATTGTCTCTCTTTGATGGGGGCTGCAGCTGATCCCCTTGCCGGCTCTGTTCGGAGTCTTCACTGGGACTGGACTTTGATACGTTCTCTCCAGTCCCCTCCAGCATGACTCGTCCCTGCTCCAGTAACACAGTAAACAGCAGCCCCCGGTAGTTCCATGGCACCAGGCAGCGAACAGTCAGTGCTGTTTCCTGAGGCTGTAGCCTGCTGGCTGTCACATAGTCTAGAGCTGTTAGGTAGTTTAAGCCACCCATCATGCGCAGGAGCCCCCTGCCACACAGTGCCCGCACACAGCTGGATGGGTGGGGGGCATCGTGTTCAATCACAGCCTGAAAGTCTTCCAATGCCCCCTTGTGGTCATCAGAGAGAAGACGTGCATATCCACGAAGAACCTGCACTGTGTTTTGATAGCTCTGCTGACCTTGGGCAGCCACTAGCTGGCTGCAGATAGAAAGGGCCTCCTTGTGTTCCCCTCTGAGGAGGAGACAGTCAGCAAGTCGTACTCGCAGCTGTCTGCCTCCGCCGCCAGGCTCTAAATGACACAGAGTCCGTAACTGAGTGATCACAGGGTCCAGGAGTTCAACTCCTTCAGTGGACCGCAGGTCTGGACGGATGAGGACCCTTTCTCTGTAACCAGACAGGCCCCTCTCTGCCTGCTGACGGAGATGGTTGCGAGCAGCCACCCCTGTACCATGATCTGTGAACAGCTTTTGGAAATAAATTCGAGCAGTGGCAGGGTGGATCTCAAATGCCTCCCCCAGATCCCTGCACGCCTCCGCAGTCCGTCCACCTGCTGACAAAAAGGCAGCTGCTCGACTGATGAAGAGTCCGGCTCTCTTCTCGGGAGTGTCTTGGAATGACTTGTCTGTACTCTCTGACTTTTTCTGACAATGACCATGACGCAAGAGAGCAGAGTACATCTCTGCACTGTCCCCAAACCTGCCCGTCAAAAACAAATATGCTGCTTGAAGCTCCTGAACTTCTCTGTAACCAGGTGCGATAGCCAACAAAAACTCAACAACTGTAGAGGAATCCTCTGCGTCTAGCTCATCATTCTCCTTTGTTGTCACTGCAGACTCGCTGTCAAACATAAGAGAGGGATGTATGTGCAGCATTTGGTCTGTAAAGGCCCTCACTATTTTTGGTAGGTGCTGAGCTTGTCTGCTTTTCACCAGTTTGACAATTTCAGACTTGTTACTCTGATAAGCTTTGAGGTAAAGCTTCAGCCCCTTGATACCGTGAGGCTCTGACAACAAGCAGGCCAGGGCACGAGTTATCTCCAACACCATGTCAGTCGCACATTGTGAATGAGAGTTTCGCTTCCCTTCAAGCAGAGCAGTGCAGCGGGCGTAGATCTCCTCGCAGCCATGCCCGCCACTCTGAAGGAGGGACTCCATTTTAAATATGGTGGCTGACAGATTGTTGGGGCAGAGCGTGGACAGAAACACAGCTGCAAGACCTTTATTAAGACCCTCAGCAGGCGGGTTCTCCGCATGACTGTCAAGCCAACCTTCGAGAGTAGAGATCACCCCACCCAGGCTGGACTTCAATTTCCGCATGTGGGACACAGTGGAGGCAGCGTGAGTCCTGAAGGCAGACATGTAGAGAGAGGTCGCCCTCTCCAGCTCTCTTGCCTCAAGGAACTTGTCTCCTTCCTCACATAGCTCTGAAACAGTGACTCCAGGTCCAACCACAGCAGTCATGATCAGGCAGCAGGCCCGGTATAGCCGTTTTTCTCTCGCCACCTGTTCACCGTGAAGGTCACCTAATGGTTACAAATTATTAGGTTAAATAGCAGAATTATAAATACTCAGCAAACTGTATCACAACATCTCACAACAGGCATTTCTCATAATGGATATTTTGACTTGTGTTACTAATTTAAGTGTCCCAGTGAACCAGCATGCACAACACCAGGAGCCTGAAACCGAAGCAGCTAAATGGAATTCAGCATTGTTTATTTTATCATTATCTGGTTCAATATTATTTTTACTGCTGATATTTGACCCATTGTGGAACTGGTGTTTTGTGACATTTTTTTTTCTGTAAGTATGATACTGATGCAACTCTTTTATTAACGAGAAACACGTTCAGTCAAGTGTGTTTGAAAGTCTCTAACCTGCTTCCCACCAGCTTGCAAAAATAAGAAATGAACCTTTATAATAACCTATGCAAACAAAGAACATGGGTCAAACTAATATTTGTGTTTAGCGTTACTAATATGGGTGGAATTTTAAACAACTCACATTAGCAACATTTGGAGGCAAATCTCTACTACCGTCTGAAATAGTCAAATAATAGGCTACTTTTAATATGATGATATGCACACTGAAAACGCATTAACCCCCTGTGTGTGTGTGTGTGTGTGTGTGTGTGTGTGTGTGTGTGTGTGTGTGTGAAGGGGATTCCTCGCTTTCTCTGGGCGATGGTTCACCTACCTGCTCCTTTGGCTTTTGTTGCCTTAACTAAAAAAAAAAAAACTAAATCCGTGACTTTTTAAGTAAGAAAACAACTCACCGCTACGGTCGGTGTCGGTTCATTTTGTGCAGCTGACCGTCCCGACAACAGAAAACTTGGGCCCCATTATTGTAATTCAATAGCTCTCGGCTCAGAGTTGCCGGGACAACACGGTGTGTCCGCTCATACAACAAAAGTTTTTTTTTTCTTTCTAAAGTCTGTAACATGTGGAAACACACCGAGATACCAAGAACAAGATACCAACCCTCGCGTCACGGTAAACTCCTCCCGGCTCGGTCTCCGCTGGTGTCGGGACGGGTCCTGATGCGCAAGCTGTTGTTCTCATGAGCGCGGTCCCGGTTGCCAATGGAAACCACTAACGCTTGCTGCTCGCAGGAACACAGCAGGGCTTCATAATGGGACACTGCTCGGGGTTTACACTAATGTCAGATTAAAATCTGTTCCTCTTACGGCAACTCACTCCGGGGAAAAGTGGTGAATGTGAGAAAAGGTCATACGGGACCCACGTTAATAGATTAGACACACCACTAATATACCAATACAAGTAGGTTCTTGCACTTAGCCTATATCTCATATAAAACTAAAAAACTAAACAAAATATATATAAAAATAGATTCAATATTGTACCAAAATACTGCATTCATGTACAGCTGTAGATATGACTTCCCTCTTCAGAAGTTATAGCTACTTACAGTAGCCTATATAACCTGATAAATATTTCAGAAGCTGACTTTGTAAGTGTACTATAGGCTACACATTTTGTCTAAGCCTAGCCAATATGATAAATCGTCTCTGTGTATGTGATCTATGCTTTTTCTATTCAGGGGATGTGGACAATGTAGGACAGCTGTTCTTTGTGCTAAAGCAGAATTTGCAATTCATGAGATTGGTCAAATCCACCTCAAGAATAAAAGCTGCTCAAGCACCCTGCCTACAATTGCTTTGTGAGGTCCTGTTCTTTAAAACTGCACCAGCTGCTGCTGTTCAAACACTTAGCCAATACTCCCACCTTGTGGCCAAGAATTTTTATTCATGACATACTGTACAATGACATTTTGACTTAGGCTCTTGCAGTACCATGTTACCATACATTTGTACCATTGGCGACTCCAGTGAGGATAAAAACCTAACCCTGACCGTATGATAATACACTCATTGAGCTTTGTAACAACACATACAAGCATCCATAAGTAGTTTCAGAAAATGAAAATAATGATAACATAATATACATACACACGTCTCAAGGCCCAAAACCAAAAAACACAGACCTAGATTCATCTAATTAATTGGAAAGTCCAGCTCCTCTACTGTCAGTAACTGAACTGACACACAAAACTCTCAAAGTGAGGTACCCCAAACTCACAACAGGAAACCATCAGTTTGGATGGAATATGTGTGGTGAGGAAAAACCCAGCCTACTGCACATTGACACAATGTATTTGCAGGAAACTGAAAACCAGACATCCTGTGGGGATTTCAGTTTTCTTCTCTTGCGAGGGTGCACAACTAGAATCAGTGGCTGAGCTGTTTATGTTGAAGGAGATGTCAGACACGGTGAAAGGATTTGCAGCAATGCTGCTAAAACATCACAGATGTACACTGAAATGTTCGCACAGTTTATATACTCAAACTGAACTACTTTGACAAGTAATATACTAAAACAAAAACACAGAAAATCAAGCACCAATTTTCGGAAGTATAAAAATAAACACTTCTACACTTCTTAAGAATTCAAACGTATACTTATTCACTACTTCCTGTGTTTTCTGTGCACACATACAAATTCATTGAGTTATAGTTACATTTCAGCACTCTGCTGTAAAACCACAGCTTTCCACTGTTGGCCTGTCAGAGACGGCGCACAGAAGCTGGAGGTTAAGTGGTGTGCTAAACGGTGTTATGTGAGTATAGTTAAAGGAAGGGGATTTCCCCTTCATTCTTTTTATAATTATTATTTTTCTTCACCTCGATTACTAGAGTTCTGCCTGAATGTTAAGAGGCCATGACGTCCTTCTTCAACAAAACTGTTGTTGTCGTCACATGCATTTGATGAATCCACTTAATGACCCAAGCTCCAGTTGTGCAGCTGACTCTGCGACTTTCTTACTATTTTCTATATGTACATTCTGTATTTTAAGTGTCAGTTAGGAGGTAAAATAAAGCTCAACTCAATACAGACTCAAGAAAGAAAATATTATACACTTGTCTCGATTGTATGTCCTTATATTAACCCATAAAAAGAAGTAGGAAAAGAGGAAAACATCAAATTGTAGGTGGTCCACAGTGCTTCATAATGCCATTTAACTCTTAGCCAGACTGTAATATACATCTGCATTACTCAGTATCAGTCATATGTGACATTATTGTAGTCTGTGGTTGTACCATGTAGTACCAACAGTTAGTAACATAATTTCTAGGAACTTGAAGTTTCTAGTCTTACACACTGGCGTCCAAGTACTGATGTCTCTTATTGCATGATAGTGTGGTACTGTGTGTCCCGAGGTGCGGCCTCAGATGTCCTGCATTGCCCCATTCAAACCATGGTCTGTGAAACCTTGCTTCAGTTCAGGCCTCCACTGCAGCTTCTCCAGGCTTTCCTGCAGCAGCTGAGCGCAGCCGGATAAATCCATGTAGTGCAAGGCTGAGAAAACATCATTCAGGCTCGCAGAGGACTGCTGGCTCCACAGCCTCAGCATCTGGTACTGCTTCTCTATGGAGCCCAGACCTAAACCGGCCTCCAGCTCCACCCGCTCCAGCTGCTGATCAGCCACTGAGAGCAGACGCAAGAACTCCTTCCACCTACGCAACGGCACCTCCTTGATAATTGTATAGAGGACGATGGCCGGCCAGAGCCCCGATTGCTCATCTTGTCTGTCAGCTGGAAGGAGAGAATCACAGACAGTGAGCGGACACTGGATGTGCAAAACTGAAAACTCTTCTGTGGAAAAAGCTCAACAGTTGCAAGAGTGTGCAGTCTGACCTGTGTACAACTTCTTAACCACAAGATAAAACACCTTGTTATGTTATCTGGCTTGTTTTTTGGTTTTTTTCCTGGTTTACTGTAAACCCAGATTCAAGCTCAACCTAAAGGTCATACAGAAACTATGTATATACACATACAGTATTTTATATATATACATATATACAAACAATAAGATAAGATAAGATATACTTTTATTAATTCCCCGTAGGAGAAATTCAAGTTACACAGAGCAGCATTGGGGAATATAGTGCAATGAAACTAGTACAGTGTACAAAAAGTATACAATCTTATCACAAATAAGAATATTACAAAAATATAATAGAAAATATAAAACTATAAATGAAAAATATATACACTATATGCAAACAATGTATTCAGGACAACAATGGCACAGAGTATATAGTGTATCTGCCATTGTTGTCCTGAATACATTGTTGCAGTGTGACCAGTTTCCATTAGTCATTATTCACTTATTCATGATTCATGATCTCCTCATATTTGACTAATGTCTTCTAAGAACTGCCTGACACATTGTTGGTTTAGGTCTTTCTATGGAATTATGGAAATAGACAATAATGATTGGTGGGGATTTTTTTTAAACAGGACAATCATAATGAATCAAACAAGGAAAAAAAAAACTGCGAAAAAAAAAAAAAAAGTCTCACTCTGCATGAAAAGACATCTAGCAGCCATACGGCCACCGCTCACACTGACACAGAACAACACAGTGCACAGGACAGACAGCACCAAGTATTAGGTGACATAGGCGCGGGTTTGTTATGATGTGTCTACCTAGTAAAATCCCCCCATTCACACTGTACAGTAAAAGCAAAGCAAACGCCCATCGGTTACCTAATGCAAACCACAATGTCTTCAGCATTATGATCAGGGTTTTTTTTAGCTGTGCTTAAAAAAAAAACATAATTTCAGCAGTTTGCCTGGCAAGACAGGGCTATATCATAAAATGAGTTAACGTAGACTGCAATATCAGGCGTGAAGCATTTATCTAGTGTAATATAATTTAAATAATCAAGTCTTATGAACTCTGAGAATGAGTACATGAAAGGTAAAGTGCAAAACTGATGTGGCTTTAAGACTCTGTTACTCCGTATTCTATAAATAACATCTGTATAATTTGAAAGTAATGTACAAGGATGCAAAATGCTCACAGCTTAGTGACATGCACTCAGTATCTGATTTGCCATTTCCCCTAATGTTGAAATGCTGACTGATGCGAAAAGGTGAGGGTGTCTTGTTTCCCAGTTTCCACCTCCACACTGTGAGCCACATGACTGATCAGTGATAAATAGCAAGCTGAACAAGCAGAGATGAAAAGGGTACCACGCCGAGTGTGAAAACACTGTAGCTGAAGATAGTACACCACAGCAGTAATCAGATGGAGGGAAGTGTCAACCAGACATTTGACATTAGCAGTCTGATGACTTGTGATGCTACATTTTAACCAGAAAAACAGACAAACTCAAGCCTTTGTGCATGCAAGCCACCATTCAGCTCAAGTACCCTTGAGCAAAAAATTTTTTGCAGGTGATAGTTAGAAAGTACTTTAAAATGCTTCAAATACAAATAAAGTTGCAATGTTAATGCTGGGATTTGTAGTTTGTTTGTTGTTGTAGGTCTTGTTCCACTTGTAAAAGACCAGGTAGGATTTAATGGCATGACAAGTGTCTGACAAGCTGATTGTCTCTCCCCCTGATACGTTTATATTATACTATTTAAAAAAAAAAATCTATTTTAACCGGCTTTTGGAGATCTAAGCAAAATTTAATCTGCCATTCTCCCTCCAGTTCTTTTTTTCAAATTTAAGTAGTTTGTCCCTCTGTCCTTTAAATGGCCGTTTTTTCTTTGCTTCTGGTGCACTTCCAGCACATTGCAGATACTCAGTTTCATAAAACACTCCTGTAGAAGTCATTATTCGACTCTATTTTACACCAATTTCACTTTTTTTTTTCACAAACAAGTTTCTTACTTTCATGACACAAAATGTGTCTTTGATAATATGAGTCTGACTTCACATCTCAACCACAGTATTGAAACTAGTTCTATGGTGATGATTTCCTTTCAGGTTGATTCACATAAGATCCTAACCCTTTGAGCTGCCTTTCATAGATGCTTTCTTTCTCTGTTATTTTACCATGACTCTTAACATGACATGGACACGTGAAGTGACCGTTTACATTGTTAATTAACAGTTTTGATAATAAATACAATCCATTGTTAGCACTTAAAGCCTATTTTGACATGCCATATCTCACCTCATTTTGTTTTGTTTTATACAACAATGTAATGCAAGCTTCTACTGAAAGAATGTAAAGGATGAAAATCTAAATGATTTGATGTTTTACATACACAGTACGTATCTCTGATGTTTTGACAACCACTTCTTTCACCTATGTTCTATTGGAATGATTTGGACAACATATACATTACAATGTGTTGAACACAGGCTGTGTATCGCCACACTGAATCTTACCTTTGTGTTTAGCATCAGGCAGTAGAGGACTGACGTGGGCTGGATGTTCTGGTGTGGCTGGACTCAGATTTAGAGACATCATGGGGGTTTCCTCAGATATGGTAAATGTCTTGAAAGGACAAACGAGAAACAGGAGGTCAAAATCTTACAATAGTGGGGATGCTGAGTCAGCATCCCCACTATTGTTATTCAGTTCTTTATTTATTACTGCTTTAGTTCAAGTTAACTATAAACTCATCGACATTTGACCTCTACGTGTATGTTTTGAACATCTGACCACCTACAGTTCTGCTCCAATCTAGATCTCCATCTCATCAGAACACAAAATGCATGAAATTAAGCACTAACCAGCGTAGTCGGGCTGCCGTCTTGATGACTGCAATGTTCTGTTAGGAGGAAAGCAGATATTATCAGTAAGCTTCCTGCTTGAGTGTATTTAGCAAAGAAAGCGCAGTAAAATAAGATACTCAGATACATTTCTCTGAAAATACATCTTTTGTTTAATACTGGAAATATCTTCAGTGGCAATAAATGTCTCTTGGATTTTATACACACACTTTAATAGTGTAAGAAATCCCACATGGGAGTCTATCTTTGGTTTTGTTGTTGTAACTGCACAAAAAATTATATATTAGTTTATACTAAGTATTTGTTCACTTAATTATACCCATCTGGTATTTTTATGTTAAAAGACCAAAGCTTTGGTAAATTAAGCACTATTGTGTAAAGTAGCTACTCGAGGTACTCTCAATGGTGGAAGAAGTACTCAGGTCCTTTAAGTAAAAGTAGCAGCACCACAATGTAAAAACCCTGCATTCAAATTGTTAAAGCAGTAAAAGTACAGAAGCATTAACAGCTAGATGTTTTTTAAGTATCAAAAATAAAAGTACTTATTTGTGCACAGAATGGCACAAATGGTGTTAAATGATCATATATCACAATTATTAGAGATGCATTAATGAGGAGGCATATTGTATTTTACCTACTGTTGGGTAGTTCAATGTATAAATTACACTGTCATATTTACAAGCTGATCATATGTTTTGCATGTAAAATACTGATCTCTAAAGTAACTTGTAAATTAGGCTATCAAATTAATATAGTGGAATACTATACTATATACTATACTACTAATACTAAACAACAAATACACAAGTGCGGCTCTGAAATACAGTGAAGTATAAAGTGCTTAAGTAAAGCACAAGTACCCAAAAACTGTACTTAAGAACAGTACTGGCACCGCTGGTTACCATTGAATTTGGGGTCCTCGGGAGGTGGCTGCAGGTCTTTGTTCACACTCCAGCATGAACAATAATGAGGGTATCTGAGTGAGTTCCTGGTGAAGAGCAGCAGGAGCCAAAAGAGCAGCATAAATGTCACCAAAACCCCCATGAGAAAAAGCCAGGGCAATGCTGTGGACACAAAGAAACACTGAAATCATTCCACCACTTATCAGTTCTAACTGTCTGAAAACCTTTGAAGATAAAAAACAGAAATGATGCTCAAGATAATAACTTGGATAACTGCAAGCTGATCACACGTGGTGCTGAAAAGGGGAAATAATCTAGCTCTGTAACCCTTAATATAATGTCCACAGTTAATGTGAGCGTAAAGGGCATACGAGTCATGAAACTACAAAACCACAGACCAGAGTGTCGCTTGTTAAAGGACCAGTGTGTAGGATTAAGTGGCATATAGCAGTGAAGTTGCAGATTCCCACCAACTGAAAACAGCTTGCGTCTGTATTTGACAGCCTGGGAAACTTCGAAAAAATGCAAACGGCACTATCTATAGCCAGTGTTTGGTTTGTCCGTTCTGGGCGACAGCAGAAACATGGCGGTTCAGTGTCTGTAGATAAAAACGGTTCATTCGAAGGTAATGATTCATATTCCAGTGATTATACACTTATGAAAACATACGTATGAATATTATATTCAGTTTCTGCCAATAGATCCTCCTAAATCTTACACACTGGACCTTCAAAGTACACATTTACAGAACATATTTAACAGTTAGCAATTACATTGAGATGGAGAAGATGGAGGTGTAGATTGAGTTGTAGATGGAGTTGCAGATGAAGTTGCAGATGGAGTTGTAGATGGAGTTGTAGATGGAGTTGCAGATGGAGTTGTAGATGGAGTTGCAGATGGAGGTGTAGTTGGAGGTGTAGATGGAGGTGTAGATGGAGGTGTAGTTGGGGTTGTAGTTGGGGTTGTAGATAGATTTAGACAATTCCTCTTACATTCTGGGTCTTTCAGACACTTAGCCCTGAAAAAATAATGAAAGACTAGTAAAGACACGGCACAATCTAACACCATATGTATCCATACACCAAATAATAGGTTCACACTTGTTCAAGACTTAATAAAGTAGTGTGGTGCCCATGTGGACACTGAAACAGCTGGTGCTTGCTATAGTCTTTCCTCTTGTTCTTACTGGCCATTAAAAGATCTTTTCCTAAGATGTAAGCAATGGCAGAGAAAATCTACAGTCCTTGTTCTGTGTAAAAATCCGTCACAAAGATTATGTGAAGCTCATATGATGCTTCAACAGTTTAAGATAGTGGATATTTTTATGTTTTTAATATACAGTTCCCACTTAGAGTTTGCCTGGACAGTGTATCCCCGCTGAACTGCAGTGGAGGGACAACAAAGAGACTGTAACTTTAGCTTTAGATCAACTTTTGAATACATTTTTTGCATTTTAGCCGTTGCTTACATTAAAAGCTCATGAGAAAGGGATCTTTCAGTGGCCAGTATCTGTGACAGACTATTGTTTTAAGATAGACCTGTCTGTAATTTGTGCCTGTGGGCACAGTTACAATCCTTTAACAGTAAGGCTAAATGAACATAACAACAACATAAAAAGTGTGCCTTTGTGTTAAGACTTTAAACATCCGCAAATACAGTGTTCAGCACATGCACAGGTCTCAAGTAAAACCACAGGAACTGGGTGGCTAAAAGAGATGCAGAGAAAAAAAACTGGAAATTCGCAACAGAATCACACTAGTTTCCTCCACTCTAATGAGAATACAACATGCCCCTTGACCTAGATGTCATGCTTGATTTGAACAAGGAGGCACATTTTAGATCAAAACACAGAATCAGTTAAAAGATCAAAAGACATGCTTTTTTCCACTTTCATTTAGTCTATAAAAACAGTCAAATTTTGAAAATTCTAAACACAAAACAAGAAAATCATAACATTACAGAAGCTGTAAAATAGGTTCATGGGTGTTTATTGTCATTTCCACATGCAGAGTACACGGGAACAAAGTTTTGTTTCTCGCGGTCCAGTGGTGCTACATAAATATAAGCAACAATTGCTCAATTAAACTACAGAAACATCGACTCATTGCTTCTGTTTGGTTTCAGCCTCACAAAGTTTTTTTTATCAGGCTTAGTCAGATAAACTAAACATCACAGAGAGGGCGATATGCAGGATATACATAAACACACTCATTACTGCGGTTGCAGTCTGCATAATTACAGAATCAATCTGCTCCCACATTAAGCCAATCAGATAATAGAAGAGCCTCTTCAACACAAATAGATTATATCGAATCCACTGTAATATCAGAACACATAGAATACATAAAATGATCACAAAAAGTATAAGTATCAATTATCATAAAAAGTATTACACATAGAAAGGTAAATGTAGCAAAGTAGAAAGATAAAGATACAGACACACAAAAAGTAACTAAATTAATTACTTCCCCAGCTCCCCAAGATATATTGGATTTGTTTCTGATTTCTGCCTTCAGCTGAGGTTGTAATTCTGCAAGCGCTCTCCACTTTGTCACAAAAAAACTAAACATGTGTGAGTTTTTGTCTGTCAGTTTGTAAGATCTCCCACCTTTGGCAGGGCCCGCACTTCTTTTGGTAGTCAGAGTTATTAAGCCCTGAAAGAAAATATGAGGGTGATTGTGAGAATTCAAAAAGCTCCATGTCTTCCTTTTGAGAGTGTTTATAGTGTTATAGTATATTGAATAAGCCAGGGGATTAATCAATATAGAAGCTGTGAAAACCTATCTAGGACTTGAACTCCCTTTGCCTTGACTTACCTTCACACTGTTCACAGAGGCATTTCTTGCAATCCAAGTCATCGGCCCCAGGGTTTGCATTGTAGTATCCATCTTTACAGTCACATACCACATTACTACTTATGGAGCAGTTCCTTATTACCACATGATGCTGAGCTGGGGAGAAAGATCAAAACACAGTGCTTCTGTCTCAATCCACAGCAGTCATTCATTTCAAGGAAATCAAGAAATAAATTGATGAGAATTTTAATTATTCAATTAATTATTTTCATCAATTCTCACATTACATCAGTTGGTACACTGCTAATTTCTTGTTCAAAATGTGCTGCATGCTCAACCTGTTCTGGGACAGAACTAATCTTTGGGACCAGGTCCCATTAACCTGGAGTTAAAATGGGAATGCCACTTATTGTGTGAATTCACACAGTTTTTAATCTCAGCCTCAACCTGCTACGTTGCCAGTGACGTGCGACATGTAATGTTTAGAGGATTTGACAAGACACGACAGATTTATGCCATCACAGTGTTTCCACTTCCCAACCACAAAATGTACCATGGATCCCTCAAAAAACATCCTACGTACGTTTTTACTATTTAACTTTCTATACTTCATCAGAATGGCATGATAGAATGATAATTACTGCAACAAATAGCATCATATTGTTACTTTAAAAAAAACATAACAAAACACAACATCAAAAGCTTACACGATATCCCACAATCTGACAACATCTATTTCCATCACCCAAAGCAGTTAACAAGATACTTACAATAACATGTGGCACACCTGTTGCATCTAGGGTGAGTGTTTTCTATGTCTGTGTATGTGCCATTACGACATATTTCACATTTGTACAGCTGTGAATTGCCACAGGAATCAACTCTATAATATCCTGGGAAACAGTGGAGGAAAAGAGAAAGGGAGAGAGGGAGAAAGGTAATGAGTTCAGACATGTGGAGATAATTCCTTGGTAACTGTACAACCAAAGGCCAACACATACAGTTCCTTGTTATAACTTACCAGCTGGGCACTTTTCATGACATAAATTAGTGGTTTGTTCTGTCTGTCCAGGGGGAAGGAAGGCAAGTATCAGTGAGAAACCCTGAAACAAAAGACAAGGTTTGATAATCTGAGGTACTGTGTGAAGAGGAATGCTCACAGATGTACTGACCTGACACTTGGACACTAAAGCTGCCATTACAAAGGACATATACTCCTCTGATGTTAAGCAGGTCTTCGGGTTATTAAATAAGTATATTGACATATTATATATACAACATTCAATCATGTTATTGTCATAAATCACCATAGAAACTGTAACACCAGCCTACTTAAAAAAAACAGTAAAAGGGAAAGTACATTGTAATATCACATATGCTCAAAGGAGCAGGAGAGGATGCTAGAGTGTATGACTTTTGTGGTTGTTTGATGTGCGCAAAAATTGTGTCACAAACATTTGAAAGGGCATCTTTCAACTTGCACACATATGGCGGCGGGTGTTCAAGTTATGATGCATGTTATGATGCAACACTCAATCACTCCTGAAAAAAGATTTGCGTTTGAGGCATGAACCAGACCAATTGCTGACTGCGAAGATATTTCTGATATTTGTGAGCATTGACCTGTCTGCCTTTCAAACCACTCCCTACTTTAAAATAGGGAGTGTGTTTATTTAACTCTTAGAAAAAGGAGCTTTGCATAATCATCATTTATACATACTTAATACATAATCTGCCAGCAAGCAATAAAAGGAGGGCTTGATATCTTTGGCTTTATCCGAGGGTATCTTAAAATGATTGTGAAACAAATCCTCATATCTCTTGGTCACAGAGAAACCTAAATATGTAAATCTGAATATTTTCAGATTTTCTTAAGTCTTTCATGATAGTAAACTGAAAATCTTCAGACTGCTGATCGAATAGAGAAAATAATCAGTAGATTAAAAAACAGATGAAACAATATAAGAAGCAACATGCTAAGCCTTAATATTAACTGAAACAACAGTGAGATTGTACATACTGTAAATCTCTCCCACAGTACTCAACATTAGTGTTTGCCAATCAACCCAAACAATCACAATGACAGATGTCCTACTACAATCCCCCAACCTTTTGTAGCAAATATAAGGTTCCTATAACAATGAGTGATGAATACATAAAAATCCACTCAGAAAGTAAATGAAAGCAGCCCTGAAACATTGGATTACTTACCAAGATAAAGTCCATGTTGGATGAGTCGATCCTGAGGATGTTCAACAACCAACTTGAGTGAGTGTTAGTTTCACTCATTGGGGAAAAAAAGTCAGAGTGTCACAGTATATCACCCGGTGAGGATACCACTGAATTCACCAACAGGATGAGGCATTGTGACTCTGAACCACCTGTAGATTTCCTTTCAATCTGAGTCAAATATAACTTTAAAGGAAGCCTGTCTTTGTGTTTGCGTGTTTGTGGGTCATAGATGTCAGTTCTTTGGAGTCTTCAGAGAAGTGGAGTGAGAAACAGGAAACACAGAGACATCACGTACCCAGTACACACACACACACACACACACATGCACAGTGTGACACAACTATTGGTGGCAACGTCAGCGCATGACTCCCTACGTCTGATTGTTTCCTATAATTTCACTGATAATTAAGTGGTTCAGACACAAGAACTGGTGACATATATGGGACTAACACGAGTCGGATACAGTAGGAGGTGGTGGCTGTGTGTGTGTAAGGGGAGGGTGGTTACACTGAATATATTAGGCACATCAGTGACTTCAATGAGAATCTACCGTCAAACAAAGTACAAATTTAGATGAGATAGTAGGCAGGTACCAGTAGTGAGGACCAATCAAATGCACTATGCTCAATCCCTGATCAGACGGGTGCATGTTGGTTTAAAAATATATATATTATATCTAACATGAAAGTCTACTTGACTGGCAAAAAGCCTTTGAACACACACACACACACACACACACACACACACACACATACACACACACACAAATACATATTAAAATTTGCTTTCTGAAGCAAAACTACACTGTGCTTCAAAACTGTGTGTTCACTGCAAAACATCTGAGTCTGGCACTATTACTGTATACATACGCAATATACACAGTAACTGACACAAATCTGTGATTGGGGCTATTTCTTTCACTTGTTTCCCACAAAAGTAGATAGTAATCAATTTTCAGTCCGATTCATTGTCTTGATAGGAACATCCTGTTTGTTTCATGGCTCTCACAATCAAACTGGTATATACTGTTCCCAAAGTCTATCATTCATTTAGATGCATTAACACCAGACGACGCTGACATGGTATGGGGGCACGGACGAGATGTAAAACACTTACATAAAGATGTTGCGCAGCAGAAACAAAGTGTGAGACACCTAGTCAATAAACTCTGATTTGGTTATCTGAAGCCAGCAGATGTCTGGAAGTAAAAGTTAAAACTGGGATAAATGTGAGTGAAAAGATGTTTTAAGATGTCTAAGTTACATGTTACTATCATTATAACACTATTTCAATGACTAAATATCAACTAAAAGATTACAGCTTTGAAATGTTGAAATAATGAAGGTGTATGTCAACCAGTAGTTACATTGTACATTATGTAACCTAGATATTCACAAACCAAATGTAGCCTAGTTTGAACCTTAACACTGTCTAGGTTTGGAAAAAATGGACTCTTGGTGAATTATTTTGCTTTTAATGTATTGTTTCAACTTTATTTCAGATCTAGTTTATGCATCTTTAATTGCAATATACTCATGATAATTTACACTCATTTGAAGAATGTGACAGTTGTATTAGCTTGTTTATAATGACTGTATTATAGTTATTTTTGTAACAGTGTTTATACTGTCTTCTTGGCAAGATCTCTCTTTAAAAAATATTCTTTTACCAGGTTAAATGAAGGAAAAAATAAGTTTTTGCCCTGCAAATCATCAAATCAGTATAAACTGAGGGGAGTTGGCTCACCAGACTAAGAAAGAGGTGCATTCAAGTTTTGCCCCTTTCTTCCAATGCATTTAAGACATGTTGCAGTTTTATCTTCACATATATCTTTATTTTGCACATAAAACACGGCGATGAAGATGAGCTCATAAAACGTGATGCACTGCTGCAGACTCAAACACCTAACCGCGTCACTTTAAGCAGCTTCAGTCATTTAACACTTAGAAAGGGGCCATTTCCCCCCTCATTTAACCACAGCTTCTGTTGATATTTGGGTACATTTAGCAGCCAGCATTTGACTTCAAGGAAATTTTGAGTGCAGTACTTCTCTTTTGCAACGGAGTATTTTATTGTGGCGATTTCATGATGTGTGTTACTACTTCCACCCCTGCAGATCTGTCGGCTAAATCCAACCCCCCAAAACAGTCAGCAAACATAACGTTATTACATCCATCGTACACGCGCTGTCCATTGAAACGTGAATAAAGTAGGTCATCGTGTACAAAAAAAAAAAAAAAAAAAAAAAAAAATCCAAAGCAGCATTGAATATCTCTTCTCTCTGTGTGTCTGTGTCTGTGTGTGTGTCTGTGCTGTACTGAGCCTGCAGCAGCACCCAGAAGTGAACAAAGCGACCCGGAAGCGGTGGTCCGACTGGAGGCAGGCAGAAAGAACATCAACCTTTTATATTATAGCTGTACTCGCAAGACAATATCTGCAATCAGGACACAAGGTATTTGTGCATGTCTTTTCCTGTCTTCCACTGCGGTGCATTTGTCCGAGGAGCCGATAGCCTCCTACAACGCGTGCATTGTGCACAAAATGCAATCGCTGCCCTTTGATTCGTCCAAAAGTTGCAGAATGTGGTGGGGGAGAAGAAAAAAAAGGCAGCCCTAAAAGTGAAATTTGGTTAAGATGGCTCAGCGGCTCTCGGGGGGAGACGGGAGCGGTGTGCGCCGGGTATATTGTGACCTTTAAGGCAGCGGTACGGGGGTTGTTTTAGTCGGTGTGCTGTTTTGGGTCGAGCCTGCATCTTGTCCGTTTCCGTGCTGTTTTTGTGTTGTGTGTGTGTGTGTGTGTCTGTGTGTGTGTCTGTGTGTGTGTGCAGGGCATGGTTGTTGTAGGAAGTGTCAGTTTTTTTAAGAGGTGGGGAGGCCGGGCTATTCAAACCTGCAATTCGCCGTAAACAATCATTCATGCCTTTGACATGATAAACACACCTTTGTGTCCGCGTCGGCCGCTTCCTCTCCCCCGGCACCCTCCTCACGACTACATGTTCATGCTCCTAAATTTTTGGGGTCTGCAGAATATGGCGTCCCGCCTTATAAAAATAAGGCTGCCATTTTTGTTTCTCTTTTGTCTGGAAATGTTTAAAGAAAACTGTCTGAGAATGTCTGAGTCGCACCGGGAGGGTCGATCCGTGAAAACCCTTCCGTCAGTTCGGGTCCGGAGTTGATCCCAGACAGCCGACATTGTCCGAAAAAAGTCAAAAGAATGGAAAGTTTTGGGTTTTTTTTTTTTGTTCATTGCGTTTGTGTGAACATTTAAAAGCGACGTCCACTTATTTTCAGGAATTCACTCTCAGACAAAAGGAAGAGAGGGGCTAAACGTCCGAGCTAACAGGCTAAGGCTCAGTCTCTTTCATGGGTTATTACAAGTGACAAAACATCTGTAGGTGACATTTAGCTGTGGGACCTGCCTTAACTTAAAGGTGACACTGTAGGCCTGATTTACACACTCACTTATTAGTATAAAGGTAACATTGCAAGTTAATATATTTGTATTATTAAACAATACATTTTATCTTTAATGTTAATGTAGGTCCTTGTTAAATGTTTAAAATATATATATATATATATATATTTTTTTTTTTTACAAAGAAATATGATTCAAGGACCACTTACTAGATTTATCCACTTTTCAACTGCATCTCAAGGTCTTCATCAGTGGATGGACCCTGTCTGCTGAGGAAGACTGTGAGATGCGGATGAAAATGTAGCAAGTGAGCCTTGAGTGAAGATTTAATTGGAACTATTTGTTTCCAAGGTTACCTTAAAGCCATTATAACACATGTCTAAATACCAGTCTAAAATGTTTCAATTGTTTGTTTGTTTGTTTTTTACAAAATTATTTGATTTCTTAAACTTTTAAAAGCCCATAAAACCCAAAGCCTGATATAACATTCACCTCTTACCTATCTGTGTGTAACCGCATTCATACATGCACATTCTAGATTAACCCGACTGCATTTTTATTTAATTTGTTTTAAACATTTGTGGAATATATGAATATCTGACTATTAAAATCCTCCATTTGCCCCTTAATTGAGCCACCCTATGCAGTGAAACTTGTCTGCATAATGTGTCTTAAATGTATTTATTTTTGGTTTAATAAAATGTTCAAACTTCCTGCTATCTGCAGACACACCGTAGGATGGATTTCTCAACTGAATCTGTCCTCGGTGGAAAAGTGGAACAGTTAGCACAGAGGCACACGCAAAGATAGAGGAAAGTGAACGTGATGGAAACGGCAGGTTGGGGCAAAAGGAAAATACTCACCCTTCCAACTGAAACCTGCTTGTTGTTCAGGGTTTTTCGGTGTCATCATTTTTGACTGCCAGTTTGTGACATTAACACGCTCTGCCTACACACTGTGTTCACAATGTTTTGAACAGTTTGAGAAAAAATGTTTGAGTTTCACATATTTGTAGTAACAGCTCATTGACTTTTGAACATGGCTAAAATAAATGTTATTCATTTCAGGATGGCAGAGCCTCGATTTAACAACCCGTATTTCTGGCCGCCACCTCCATCCATGCCAGGCCAGGTAAGTCCACTCGTTACATGTAATTACTGTGATATTTCCGCCTTTAATTGCCATTTGTTTCCATGTGTGAACGTCTTTTCAGCCATTCAGCACCAGTCTGTCAGTGAAACAAACTCTCAGAGTGAGAGATAATTGATCTTGTACTGTGTTGCTGGTCAGGGTTTTTTTGTCCTGGGATGTGTTTTTGGGGGCGTGAATGACTTTCACACACGGTGGCTGTTTTCTGTTGAGCATGACCCGTTAACCCTTTCAGCTGGATAACCTGGTGCTCATTAACAAGATCAAGGAGCAGCTGATGGCTGAGAAAATCCGACCCCTGCACCTGCCGCCTACCTCCACCCCTTCCCAGCAGCCTTTGCTGGTGCCCACCTCGTCCCCGGACGGTAGCGCACAACACGTCATGTCTGTGCAAAAGCCACAGCAGGTACCGGGCCACCACCAGCAGCCGCAAGGCTCTGGGCAACCAGACATTGCTCTGCACGCTCGCCCCGCATCCAGCTCTGGACCAGGTACAGTCTTCACTTTGTGGTTTTTGTAGGCCCGGATACTGGACCGTCATACATTTATGATACTCAACAAGTCAGTAGCATGAAGTATCAAAAACAGTGGAGCACTAAAAGTTGGTATTAAGTGTTTGCTCAGAGTTTTAGTCGTGTTTACTTATTATTTGATCAGATATTTACTGTTAAAATCAGAAAAAAATGTGTTTATGTGGGAAAAGTCTGACATAAGGCTGCCGATGTTAACACTGATGTTTTGAGAAGTTTGGAATATTTTGTAAAATTAAAATTTGTTAAGAAACATATTTATATAAGTAGGTGCTGAAAAAGAAAAGTTGGGGTTTGGTACAAAACTCTATTACTACAAGCTATTATATTGCACAGGTATCAAAACATGTGAAACCACGTTTGTTTGTAGACCTATTAAATTAAAGGTTCTAACTAATATATATTTTAAAGGCTTTTTTTGTCACATATAATTTTAAATAAGGACCTCTAGTCCACAATTGTTGACTTCACATTGTGTGTTATTCTTAGATGTGAGCATGACACAGTATGACACAGAATTTACTGTTCACTGTCTAAAATGACTAATCACCTGACAACTTCCAGATGGAAATATGGACGACAAGTCAGCAGTAAAGGCCAAAGGACTGTGGGAAGACTGGCACATGAGACAGCTCGGCGAGCAAGCTGGCCGGATCAACCATCGCTCAGGTACTGGGGGTCAGCTGGTCGTTTTGGTGGTCTGTTGTCACGGGGAGAATATCAGCAAAAGCCGACAGCAGTGTGATCAGTCGTACCGTTTAAATGTCTCTAGATTTTGATATACACACACACACGCAGTAACGGTACAACGAAGGAAACGCCATAGCTGACAAGTAAATTTACTGCACTGACATTCAGTGTGTATTCAGGCAGGCAACATGGGGAAACTGCTGAAGTACTCAGTGTCCTTAGTTAGTTGGCTGAAAGAGGCGCAAAACATCAAATAAGACATTTAAACAGTTCCTGAGGGGTAAAGTTGGGAAATAAACAGAGAGGCTGTGTATTGTGCAGGCTGAGCAACACATTAGGGAATAATACTGAGAGACACAGTTGTTGGTTTTCAGGCAGATGGCTGGCAATGAGGGTACACAGATATGAGTTTTTGAAGATTAGCACAAATAATTTTAGACCAAAATTGGAGCAGTAAAACTTCCAGGTACCCTGGCTTGTGGTACACTGACAAGACATAAAACCAATGTATACGTATTAGTGATACACATGCTGAAGATGCTCTTATCTTACAGCTTATTGAGCTGTTAAACAACCACACCAGTGGTTTTAGCCTATTCACTATAAATCATATTCTTTGCATCACAGTTGTAACAATCAGTGACTTGATGTTCGCTGTGATGAATTCCACAACTCAAAAAAGTTTTAGGAGTCTACTAACTGATTATTATCTAAAACTGTGCAGCATGCGTTCAATATCATCAAATATGTATCTGTGTAACAAACTCCAACCAGGTAGAACTTTAAAAAACAATCATGTGGTTGTTAAAACAATCAGGAGCCCCTCAAGTCATGCGTAGTGTTGCAGTAGGTGTTCATGTTCTTCCGCAGGTCTGGCTCCATCATCCCGACCCGACAGCCACAGCACCTCAGAGGCCCTGACCCCCACGACTCCAACCTCCAGCAGCCACAACCGCCTGGGCGGAGCCCCCTCCGTGAACATCATCTCTGGGCTGGCTAGCGGTCCCGGTATGGACCACATGAAAGCTGGAGGCCTGGCTGGACTCTTGGGCCCCCCGCCCAAGGCACCCCGGGGACGGAAGAAGATCAAAGCTGAAAACCCGTCTGGTCCTCTGCTGGTGGTGCCCTACCCCATCCTAGCTGACCAAGGCTGTGTCACTATCGCACCCAAAGAGGGCAAAACCTACAGGTTGGACACAGGAAGTTGCTACTCTTAGCTGCATCACAGGGGGAAGGATGTTTCCTTTTACTACTGGCCATGCAAAGCCAATTTAATTTAATTGTGGTCTGCAAAAGATCAATAGGCATTTGCTTGAGACCAGTTAGGTTTTAAGTACGCAGTAGATGATTGAGATGTGCTCCTCCTCCCTGAAACATCAATATGAACCCATGTTTCACCTGATTGGATGAACACTCCACTCACTCGGTTGACTTTTGCCTGCTATTATCACCTGGAATAACATGGAAAATTTCTTCTTACTATTATTACATTTTTTGTTTTTCATGAGGATCAGGAGTTTTCAGAGGCAGTGAGTCACATTATTATCTAAATGGTCCGACTTCCAGCTGCCAGAATTCTCAGTATCCTCAACCTTGTAGAAAACCGAAGCTTGCAAGATTCATGAGGTTATTTTGAATTAATCTCAAATTAAACTCTTCTCTAATTTTGGTTGGGACTCATTGCTACTGCAGTCTGGATATAGATTATGATTCAGAACTGTTTATGTTTTACTTTATTTGTCTTGAAAATGGAGGACAGCCATGGTTTAATACTTTATTCCGCTGTATAGTCTCTATTAATTCTCTACTTCAAGACTAACTTTACTTTGACTGAAACCGCCTGATCTGATCATGTTTATGCATTTTTCTGTCATTTTTCTGTCACCCAAGATGCAAAGTGTGCCCGCTCACGTTCTTAACCAAGTCAGAGATGCAGATTCACTCCAAGTCCCACACGGAGGCCAAACCACACAAGTGTCCCCACTGCTCCAAGACGTTCGCCAACGCCTCCTACCTTTCCCAGCACCTGCGCATCCACCTGGGGATCAAACCCTACCACTGCTCCTACTGCGAGAACTCGTTCCGTCAGCTGTCACACCTGCAGCAGCACACCAGGTCGGGCCAGCTGTGAACACAAAGCAGGGCAAAGTCTACTCAGTGCGGTGTTAGGCAGATTACTAACCTTTTAGAAGTTGTGTTTTTTTTTTTCTTGCTTCAAATTTGTCAGCTGCCATTTACACCTCTGGCACCTCACATGGCAGGGGATTTCTCTTATGGTATAATAGATGCATCAAGTTTGCGACTAAAATTATGTGGCAAGAGGAGTTATAGAATCTGTTTGATGAGAAAGGTGGCTTTAAAAACATACATTTTTAGCAATTTTTAACTTTGCTTCTTTTGCCACAGAATCCACACTGGCGATAGGCCTTATAAATGTGCTCACCCTGGATGTGAAAAGGCTTTTACCCAGCTGTCTAACCTCCAGGTCAGTACATGTACATAGCTTCATTCTCCCACTCTAGTTGTTCCAACAGGAACTGTCACTTTACACCGAGGTGGACAACTACACAGCGGAGAAATGAGCAGGTGCACTGCTTTGATTGACTGTACATCATAAATGTCAAAATTAAAAACATCTATCTGTTTCTTCCCCAACAGTCGCACCAGAGGCAGCACAATAAAGACAAGCCGTATAAATGTCCTAACTGCTACCGTGCCTACTCAGACTCCGCATCATTGCAGATCCACTTGTCAGCGCATGCCATCAAAAACGCTAAGGCCTACTGCTGTAGCATGTGCGGCCGGGCATACACCTCAGTGAGTAAACCACAGGTTATCTGTTTGTTATCTTCCTGTGTGTCAGATTTTCCCAGTGTGCCAGACGGACTGTTCATATGGCTGATATGATGATGACCTTTGATGATAGTCTGGCTCACCTGGCTTGAAACCAGCCGTGTTTCCGGTTTGTGATATTTAACATTTCAAGGCGCTCTCGCTCCTGTCCAAACAGACAGAAACAAAGTGAATACATTTTTATATATATATATATATATATATATATATATAAAAAAGGGTCCACTTGTCATTTTGAGATACAGGGGGGAAAAGTATGTCACAAAGTATGCAGCGAAGTATGCAACAGATTAACTTGGAGCTGAAACGATTTATTGTTTATTCACTCGTCAGAAAAATAATTAAAAACTAGTTTGGGTTATTTATTTATAGTAATATTTACTGGTTCAAGCTTCTAAATTTAATCTAATGTGAATATTTGCTGGTTTTTCTTCATTGATAATAAACTGAATATCTTGAACAGTTAGACAAAAAGAGCAATTTTAATATCAGTCAGTTGAGCTCTGGGAAATTGTAATTGATATTTTTTTAAATCACTCTCATATTTTACAAACAAACAAAACAATGAATCAAGAAAATACATGGCAGGTTAATTGAAAAATCATTGTTAGTTGCAGCTCCTGATTTTTTCATATATTTTAGTTTTTTTAAGACAATATTAGCCTCCATTGTTATTTCAATAAGCGCTCTGTAATAGATTAGATGAGTGCTTCTCAACCATGTTCCAGACCAGCTGAGGTGGAAGAGCTTAGGCAGCCACTGTCTTCTCGTCCCGTCGCTTTAAAACTACTGATGTCACATACATCCCGTCTTATTTTTACAAGGTGTTCTGGGAAGGTTTGAGTTGATATGTGACTAAAGAAAATGGTAGGATTTAGTGGCAGATTGCAACCCTACCCATTCCAAGCGTAAAGGAGAAACTATGGTGGCCGTTAAACATGCAAAAACCCCTTCTGGGACACTGTAGAAACATGGCTGTCCAACATGGCGGACAGCATAGAAGAGGACCTTCTGTAGATAAAAACATTCTTATTTTCAGGAGATTATGCAAAAACGATAAGATAGAAATGCATATTATGTTCCATTTCTGCCAATAGATCCTCCTGAATGTTACACCGTTTTAAGATAAAATATCAGTAATTAACAATTCAGGAAATTCAACTGTGATTGATTGATGATGTTTTTATTACTGACTGTTTGTTGTGTTTTAACGTCTTTGTAGGAAACCTACCTTATGAAGCACATGTCCAAACACACGGTGGTGGAGCACCTAGTGAGCCACCAGTCGCCTCAGAGGACCGAGTCCCCCAATATCCCCATACGCATCTCCCTCATCTGAGCTCCCCAGCGGCTCAGCAGCAGGTCGGATTCAGAGTCTACGTTAGGCTGGAGCTTATGAGGCCCTGCACCCACAGCCATCTACATAAGGCTTACATTAGCATTATGACAGCTGACATAAGCATTCAGTTAACAGGCTGCCTCCATCCATCTTGACACAGGCCGTCTGTCAAAAATGAGCACAGCGTTATTTTGTGAATGTAACAATACAGCTAGATGTTGTCCGGAGGATCGAGTGGCAAAGAATGTCTTGCGTCAGATTTAATAAGCACTTTCGTAAGCGTCATGTAAACTGCCGGATGCATTGGCCATGAGAAATGTTTTAGTTTAGTTTTTTTATTTTTCCTCATCCATTAAATGGGTTTTCCAAAATGTGCCAGATGATATTTGCCCTTATAAAAAAAAAAATTGAGAAAGTAGAAAAAAAGCGTTTGCTGGGTGTATTCTGGAGACATCCAAAGATAATCTTAAAGCACTTTTAGGCCTTTGTGGTTTTGGCTCAAATTGTTTCAATCTTGTTGGATGGAAAATGCCAAAGGGCATTACTTGTGGCAGCTAAGAGTTACTTTCTTTGTTTTTACTCACATTTACAGGGTCATCTAAATTTGAAGAAAGGCAATCGGTAGATGACAATTTAAACATTTAATGATTGTATTAAGAAGTTGTAGTATTGACTTGGGGAGGCAAACAAATCGAAGCAACCTGTAAGGGAAGAAAGATGAATGTTTTTTTATTTTCTAAAATCTTTCACTCCGTATTTGATGTTCACCTTTATGGCACCTTTATGATCATAGCACATGATCAAAGAAACACTGCTTTTTACATTACGTTTTCCTCACGTCCCATTAACTAGTGCCATATATGAACCTTGTTGGGGTTTAAAGAGAAAGTCCATCTTGATCTCGTGTGTTTCTGCTTTCTCTACTCAGCTAAGCTTTGACTCTTATTTTCTAAGTATTAGAGTTTGAATACATTGCACATGTATCAGTGCCAGCTCTGCCCTACTTTTTAAATACACCTCAGCTGAAATTTTACTCGAGTGGTAAATTTTAAACCTAAACATTGGACCAAAATGTGAAATTACTGTACAGCTACTCTGACCCAGTTTAAGTATTTTTTAAAAAATCTTTTAATAAGCTTTACCCATTTGGAATAAACTGCAGTATAAGTCATATTCCATAGGTCTATATTATGTTAATGTGGAGGTAATGCTTCTCCTTTTGATTTTTTTTTTTCTCCTTAGTATTCTTTTTAATGTACACAGTATTGTTTGTCGTATTTTTACTGTAACTTTAACCTCTGGATGGTACTAATAGGGTACCCTGTATTCTTCAGGGCACTTAGAAAAGGTGCTACGGCTAGATGCTACGTTGGAGATGGAACTGAGAATAATGTAAAATACATATACAGTATATAGTATGTTTTCAAAAGAATAAAAACTTATTACTCAAGCCACTGGCCTGAAAACAGACATTTACACCAACAACAGACCCTGCCTCTTCAACTTCAACTCTCTCTCTCTAATGGGAAAATGTACATGTTGCTGTACTGTAAATCATGTTACTCATTTATAGTACCTATTTTTAAGTTTTCATAAACATGTTCTGTTTGGGTTTTGTAAAGGTTTACGTATGAACTTACTGTAATTATTTTAGTCTACCCGTATGTTATTAATATTCATGTTTTATATCAGTTATTTACATGTAAGCCTTAACTGTTTTATCACCCCATTTCCATTACTCTGTATTGTGTTCTGCAGTATTCAGTCGTGTAAACATTTTTACTTTCCTTCAGCATGGAGTTCCTGAGCTGTAATCTGTATGATAACTGTTTAACCCATGTTCTCTATGAAAAGATATTGCGTAGATTTATTACACTTTTTCCTGTCTTGCATTGTGGTTTCATATACAGTTTCTAGACAACTAAATATGCACAGCCAAGACTGAGAAGTTAAACTAAGGTTATCAATGTTTAAAAAAGGAAAAAAAGCTTTGTATCTTTACCTTGTTTAATAAACAGACTGTTATAAATTCATCATGGATTGCTTTTACAAAAAACTGTACAAATCTGTTTTTTAGAGAACAGGAAAAAAAAAAATCAAGCATTACATTTGTTATTTATTCACTTTTATTTATGAAAATAGTTTTATGTTTAAAAAAGGTATTTACACAGATACAACAAGTTTCTTGTCCATTAGATCTCGGTTTACATGTCTGTCGCAAATAGGCTTTTGTTATTCAACGTATTCACGCAGCAGCAAGATAAAGTTAGACACTTCATCATTTCAGGCACATTGAAGACAAAATAGACATTGGTTTCCACAGTGTACAACTCTATTATTGACACAAAATAATAATGGTGGTGTGAAATAGTTCATGTGTATACTCTTATGTCACACAGATCTCTTTGTACAACAGTACAAGTGCTTTCTGATGGCGCGCCCCTGGAGGAAACCATTGAGGTTGACCAATGTAAAAAACAGCTTGGGGTGCTGGAAATAGACACAAAAAAGCTCCTGGAATTCTGTGGCATTTCTCGACATTTTGGCTGCTTGTTAAAACTACTTCCAAAGCTGCACATTGTAAATACTGGAGTGGCTAGCAATTGCTGACAAGCAATCGGAGTGACAGAAGGTCCCTGATATTTAAACTGTTTACCACACAGAGTCTATTGAGACACAAAGTGGGTCCACAATATCATCAAAGTTATGTTTGATATAAGAAACTTGAAAATGTTGATCTTTTCTAAGATTGTTTTGACATGGTAAAAGCACAAACACCATAGGCCTTTTTTCATTGAAAATACTGCCACAATTAAATTTAACGGGGGGAAAATACACACAATGATATACTGTTATACCCACTTGTTTATTCCGTTGCTACATTTTTCATTTACAAAAGGTAAACACGAGTAAAACTCATAAAGTGCTTAGTAGTTTAAACTAGTCTCATTTAAAACTCGCTCATGAAATGTCTTTTTGACATTCACATTGTCTTATCTTGTACCCTTACATTAAAAAAATATATAGAATCTTTCCTATAAACCAACATGAGGCTTTCAAGCATTCTGATTTGCTTTGGTGTGCTGACGCAAACTGACTAACCTCCCACATACATGCGCACAACTGTGTATACAGACAAGATTGTACCATGTGTTTAAATTCTCTTATTACATGTTTCTTTTTAAATATGTCGTAAAACATATTTGATTGACACTCGCACAGGGCTTTTTTTTTTTTTTTTTTACAAATCCCCCAAATGTTCACCCTCAGTCTGATTCTGGATTAAAAACAAAAAAGAAAAAGGACTTGCAAGCCAAACAAGAAAGCTTTGCAAAACAAAAGTGATATCACCCTGAGGAAAACTGCAGTGGAAGCTCCCTTTCATTATTACTGCCTTTTAACAAATGATTATTTGCATTCTACGTATTTTTTTCACTCCTTTATTCAAATTTTCGTCTCCAGTGGAAGCGGCGGATGCTGTTGTACTAACCCAATACGTTGTCGCTCAGTCTCACTGTTGCAAACACAGGCCAACAACCTCCCACCTCTCATACCTGCTCGCTGTTGTTTGAGCTTTCCTCTGTGCCTTTAATATCTGGAGGAACCAATGGGGAGGTGAGATTCAGGTAGCCCTGCTCTGATGGTTGGTGCGTGGAGACGGACGCTCGAGTGCCGTCCACCGCCGCACGGTCGCTCACCTTCACACGGCAGATTGCGTCCAGGATGTCCAGCGCGTCACACGAACCTGATGCCAGTCTGGTGACAGACGTAGTGAGAAAATGCACAGACAAGCATTCACCTATACGTAGACTGTCATTACAAGGAAATTAAGTTAAGCCTTACCTTAGCGTAGAAGTATGCAGGATGCCATCACAGACACTTTCAGGGGGAAGCACTTTCTTGGCATTCTGTTGAGCGTTTATACCATTTAGGGTCAAAACACATCAATCGTTTTTATCATAATAAAAGAAGCGACGTGTCACCCATTTTACATTAGGTCAAGCCGCTTCTCTTACCTTTAAAAACCTACAACCTAGACAACATAGAGAATTGTGAATTTTGGGCAGCATGTCCCATTGTGGCATAAAAGATCTGTATGGTGTTACCTCCAGGCTGTAGAACGACTGGACATTCCTCAGGGCTCGCTCTAAGGAACTGACTTGATTGGAGAGCTTCAGGGTCCGATCTTGAAGTTGTCTGTTTTCCACTTCTAAGACGTTGACTCTAGAACAAAGATTAAGTTCCCCCTTATTTGCAAAGATAATTGACAAAATATGTGCTTTATGTCTTGAATAAAGCCGAGTTTACAATGTTGCAGGGAAACGTTGCAGCAGTGTCAACTGGTTCGTCTCAGCTCAACTGAAGCCAGCTGATGGCATCATGTGTGACTCACAGCTTGTCAGATCTCCAGTGGCTGGTTTAAGAATGTAAGGCACGTCACCCGTTTCAACAGCTTGTAGCAAAGTCAGCTGTCAAGTCAGCTATAAACTGTCAGCTGGTCAAAATAGCAGAGTTTTGGAGGAAGGAAAGAGGATCACCTCATCAATTTGTTTGAGGAACAACCATGTCTGTGATACAAGCCTTCAGATGTACTCAAATGAAGAGCACTCATTGATGGCTCCAAATTCTCCACCCTGATCAATAACAGCTGCAATGTGATACTTCAGTCAACTTAACATACATATATAGATTTGATATCAAATCCTAACATTAGTGGACGATCAATATGGGTTTTCAATGGCCGATATTTAGAGAGCAGGGTGACTGATGGCCGATACGTAATGCCGATATCAAAACAACGAAAGTCATATAGTTGACTATAGTTCCATTATTTCATGCACGTTACAATCTAATATACATGGTTATCTTAGCCAGTAACGTGTTTAGATTTGTATTAATTAATGAAACATAATTTACATTGGTTTATGCTGTAGATTTCAGAAGGTGACTGGTATTTAAAGGAGAGCGTCCTGAGAGATGTCAGTATGTCAGAAGTGACATCACTCATTTGCATTATTATAACACACACACACACACACACACACACACACACACACACACACACACACACACACTTACAGCAGGATGCATGAGGGTCTGGAAACTGACTCATGGTCAACATTGTTCCACAGCAGCCCCACTGAAAGGCTGCCTGTAGATCAGAATCAGAAATACAAATAATACTAATACTAATTGATCCCGGGGGGGTTTTATCAGTCTTGTGTTCTCAAAATGCCAGATAATTAGTCTGATTAATCAGTATATCTACACCCAACACTAAAATTTTCCAAAATAAGCAATCCAACTGAGAAGGTATGCATGTAAAAACTATTCATAGTGTGACTCATTACGATACCTGTGTTGGACAGTGGAGGCGGTCCTCATGCCTTTGCTGCCCATTTCCTCTGCCTCACTTATCTTCCGCAACAACTCCCTCTTCTCCTCCAAAAGCTTCTCATTTTCTTCTGTCACTGTTTGGATCCTCTCTTTCTCCTGTAAGCCATCAGGGGGAGGCGAGACGAAGAAATATATAACATAAATACTTTTCTGGCACAAACATCTCTTGTGGGATATCTAGAAATAAATAGACTCAGACAGTGTTCTGTGACTGTGTAAGACCTTTAGCGAGAGGCTGGAGGCCAGCCCCAGGTCGTTCTCCAGTTTCTGGATGATGCGGTCCCTCTGTGCAGTCGCCTTGAGAAAGATCTGCTTGGCCTGACGCAGCTTGGTTTTGTGCTGACTCTGCTTTTCGTTGTACTTCCTGTTTAAAAGGAACAGAAGAAATAAACCACAGGAAAAGGAACAACGTCCGTACGTCTTAATTGCTGATTATGCTATAATCTTATTCAGCTGATCAGAAAATGCATGGTAGTTGTTTTCATAATACTGTGTTGAATGTATATATCTATATTCGTGCATGAGTGTCTGTGTGTGTGTCTCACCGGACATGTGTGTCCAGCTGGAGGAGAACTTGCTGCAGCTCCCCCTGCAGTCTGTCACACTCCTGCTGAGTGGCCACTAATTCCTCCTGCAGTCTGTGGCTTGACTTCTGACTGTCTCTCGCCTGTAGGACACATGTTGGTAACACGTTTGTCTATACCTAAATTCAAACTGGTTTTAACACATTTTGAGATATTGTTAAATATAAATACACCCATCAGCCACCCACTGAGAGGTGCCATGATAACCAGATAATCAGTGTTACTCACTTCACCTGTCAGTGCTCATAATGTTATCGCTGATCGGTGTGTATAAACAATAAACATGACAAGCAGTTTAATGAGAAGACTGTGTACACTGACTTTGTAAACATGCCCGTCAAAAGTCAAGCACTACTTAATGATTACAGAAAAAGAATGATAATATGATGATATGAATACAGTAAAAAAAAAAGGTTTTATCACCCTGCTCTGGGAACTTACTGGATTGCAGCTACTGACTGAAATCTTTAAAGAGCTCATGATAGGACATGGAGATAAAGTAACAAACTGTATAAACATTGTTTTGGGTATGAGCTGCCAGCACAGCAAAAATACAAGGTGTAACGTTGTGTTACATTACTATTAATTGATGAGAACTGAAAAATGCAAACTTTTCAAAACGGGTTTAAAAAAAAAACATTTAAATTTGAATCCTATGTAAGTTGTAAATCACATTTGATCAAAATATTTAAAAGAATTGCGAAATAGACATATTAGGAGTGTAAAAGGTGCCTCAGGTGTCTAAAAAACCCTACAGTTGCATCTGATGAACTGTTGTAACTGCTGTTCCTTACTTCCTCTCTGGCCTTGCTAAGCTCAGCCTCCAGGATGGTCAGACGAGTGTCCAGCTGCTGGGTGCGGTGGCTGAGCTCTGCATTTGTCCTGTTCACGGAGGCCTCCTTCAGCCTCAGGGAGCGCACCTGCTGCTGCAGCTCCTCCTCACGCTGCTCTAACAGCTTTCTGAGATAGGAAATGGAGGAGAAGATGGATAGAAGGATGGTCAACAAAAAGAGTGGCTCAGAATTATGCCTCAAAACTATGGCACTACTACTGGGACTAGGTCAAACTGTGCAGTGTCAGTAGCACCTGGTGATGTGCTCCTCCTGCTGCCTGGCTCTCAAGGCTGACAAGGTGTCAGACAAATCCCTGCTGTCCCTCTCCAGGCGGCTGCTATCACCGGCCCGGGCTTCCTCCACGCGCAGCTGGTGCTGGGCACTCTTAAGCTGCTGCTGCAGCTCCAACACCTACCATCACAACAGAGCCACAGGCTCAGTGAGACAAAGCTACACACAGTAGATATGCCAGTGTGCCAGTGTTACCAAATCGCCCAGTTAACTCTGGGCTTACCAACCAAACTATCAGAGTCCTCATACAGTAACAGCGGAATTTGTAATCCAATTACGTGCAACATCAACAGAAGCAGCAGATTAACATCACATTAGATGAGAGCGTTGATTCCTGTGTAGAAACCACGCCAGCACTGACCTTCTTGTCAGCAGCGATGAGCCGCGCCCTCTCAGCCTGCAGGTCCTCCTGCAGACTGGAGGTAGCACTGCGGTTTGTGGAGTTGCGTGCCAGTTCCAACTCCAGTTCTCTGATTTTCTGCTGCTGACGTTCACACTCGGCCGCCTGAGTGTGGCTGCTCTGTTCCACCTGGACCAGCTTGGTCTGGACCTGCTTTAGCTCTGCACAAAGCTGAAGGAAGTGCATGAGACAACAGAGCGTAAACACAAAAACAGATGCTTAACACCGGTGTGACAACCCCTCTGACAATTATAGTTTTATAGTGCCTTTCTTACAGTTTCACATTGGCATCATGGTAAATTCACAGTTAGGTGGCTGGGCAACTAATAGAGTGATTAGGGTGATGGTGAAGTGCTAAAGGTGCACTTTGGTACTGACCTTGAGTTTTTCTTGGTCCAGCAAGGTGTTGTGTCTCTTCAGGTCCATGTTCTTCTCCTTCTCGTAGCGCAGCTCTCTCTCTGCAGAGGAGAACAGGCTCTGGGCCCTTTGCAGGTCCTGCTTCATCTGTTTAGCCTCCTCTGCCCTCTGGCTCAGCACTAAGTCCAGGGACTGAAAAGGCAGATGAGAGACAAAGTTTGGATATGTTTGTGCTGAAGGGCAGTGCAGATAATTACAGGTAGGCAAGTGTGGAATATAATTTGAGAGTCAGCTTCCATAAAAAGGATGATACACCGCTGGAACTGGGAGACCAAAAGCTTTTGCGTTAAGTCATCAGCATTTATCATGAATACAAAAGAGAGGACAATTTCCATAAATACTACAGGCTAAGCTATAGAAATTTTTGAAAAAGTTGACTTGTATTATTGTATTAAGTATAAAAGCACAGTGCAGATGCTGTGATATGAAAAGCAAAGCAATGAAAAGCCACTAAACTGAAACTCAAACACAAAGGAGACAGTGATTATAGGAGATCTTAAATTTAACTGCAGAGGCAACATGGCTGTCTGGGCATGTTAAGGTTATGATCGTACCTACCTTGATGCGTGCCTGGGCTTCATTGACCTGAGCCTGCAGGGCCAGTTGGTGCTGAGAGGCCAGCTGCCGCTCCTCCCCCAGCTTGGTCTGCAAATGATTCAGGTCCTGCTTCAGACATGAAAACTAAAGAAGAACAGAACATAACATAACACACCCACACACACATATGTATGAATCGGGTTGAGTACCAACGCTGGACAAATTGAAGAGACTCCCAGCCCTGCCAGTGTGGTGGTGGACATCACAGATGACAGCAGCCTTTCCTCTTCGGGTAAGTCTAGGATTTTTAATGCCAACCGCAAATCATGCATGTCAAGTCAGCTAGCAAACACCGTTGTCATTCAACAGCACGAGTGACAACGTGTGCTATGTCGTTAACTTAATATTGTGTTCAATTTGGCCCTGGAAATAAAAGGGTATTGTTTTTTGACAAAGTGTGTGTAGTTTTGTTTTTTTAAGTACCGGTTCGAAAACCGTTTAAGCACCGGAACCGTTATCGGTATCGGATAAAACCCAACCAATACCCAACCCTATGTATGAATCATATTTGATACTGGCAGAGGAAATTCCCTTTATGCTCCCCTCCCTATAAACAGGTCAGAGGTTAAAAAAAGGTTAAAAGCTTTGGTTTATGAGCTGGTGGGGATCCAGTCTTGCTCGAGGACGCAAAAGCTGGAAAAACAGCACTTTGAACCGGGGCTCTAATGTTGGAGGACATTCTACTCCACCTTGTTACCCAATTTCTGAACATAATAAATATGATTTCACATATGAACCTTTTTACAAATCAAATGACCCTCTCAAAGAATCCAGTTACCTGATCCACACCCTCATCCTTGGTCCTCTCCACTGGACTCAGCCTAGATTCGACATGAGCTGTGTGCAGCTCAAGCTTCTGGCTGCTATGAAGTGCTTCTTTTGTAGAGGAGAGCTGCTCTTGATGCCACTTGAGCTGCTCTTTGAGGCGCTTTATCTCGAGATCCAGTCTCTCTCTTTCCCCCTCAGTCGTCAGCTTCTCCTGGACACTGGAGTTCAGCTTGGCCCGGAGGTCGGACGTCTGGAGCCGCTCAGAAACCATCTCATCCCTGGAAAATATGCACATTTATGCAAAACAAGTAAGCTCCAGTGTTCCAGCTCTTTCTTGTGACTGACAATAATACATAAGTACCAGCTGCAGTGATGTCACTCATCTCCCAACATTGATCTACTTCAACCCACATCTCAAAAATACTACTGAATGAGCTAATACATTTCACACTGTGAACTCTGGAAAGATAACAACCTCAAGGCGCTGTGTGCTGTCTGGAGGCTGCTAAGTTCAGCATTTAGTCGGTCAGCCTGCTCCTGCAGCTGGTCCACCTGAAGCCTGTTTTCCCTGAGGTCCTCTTGGGTCCGGTTACTGTCCTTGTAACGTTCCAACTCGCTTTGGAGCCGGCTGTGGGCACGCTCCATTTGGGCCACCTGTCAGACAAAGAGGCAAAGACAGAAAGATAGAGTATTGTTATATTGTTTTTGTAAACACTAATTTGTCAGCAAGTGCAATGGACATGTTTGCTTATTAACATTATGCTTTACTGATCTATTTTGCACACCATGCATTCAACCAGTAATGTATACTGTGTTTTTTTATTTATATATTTTCACTTAATCTTTATTTCTATTTAAATATTTCCTGTATTTAACAACCATTTGCCATCAACGATAGCAAGCAGACTTGTAGAATTAACAAACCTTTTCCTCCAGAACTGCTTTTTCCCCCTTGACTTGTGTAAGGCTTTTGATGAGCGTTTTCCCTTGTTGACATTCGGTCTGAAGGCTGTTGACCTCAAGTCTCAGCTTCTTCAGCTCTCGCTCACCTATCTGCAAAGCCTTTGGTGTAGAGAATGAGGGAATCATATACAGTTTCTGTGTGGCTCGTAACTCTAACTTTCCTTTTTTAATACAACAGCAACTCTTCGCTTCAGAATGACACCTCTTGAACTGTAAATCAAATTTCACATATGTGAAGCTGTGGTTGCCTGATATCAGACAGTATTATCAACTCCATTTTAGTGGAGTAGGCGGATCCAAAGGTCTGCCCCTAGACAATAGCTGTGGTGGTCAGACGAAGCACTGGATATGTGCAGTTTTTACCTCCTTGTCTTTTTTGAGGGCAGCCTGGGCAGCACTGAGGTCTACCTCCAGCTGTTTCCTCCAGTCCTTCTCCTCCGTCAGACGAGCCTCTAGCAGAGCCAGTCTCTCCTGACTGCTGTCCCTTAGGTGCTTTATACATGGTGTGAGGGGAACACAAAGCATTAACAGGTGGCACTGAGTCATGAAATTTGACGCATATACATTCTTTTGATGTATCACCATTGAATTTCTGTAGGCTGATTGTTTTTTTCCATCTTTTTCACATTTAACTTTCTATGTATGGCAATCTGAGAGGACGGTACAGTAAGAATTTCACTGTACAGTAACACATGGGATCCTACAACAGTTTCCTCTAATTTTATGCAGCACAGGTGGATGGGCCTTACTCGTCTCTTTATTGTGCTGTTGCTGCTTATTATATAAAAAAACTATTTCAACTTTGTTTTACATTTTAAACAATAGGATCACACTTTTTGTGCTTCGGATGTAGCTTTGAATAAATAACAGTTATTCTTTTTAAATGTTTGTAGCTGAGGTCATCACAAGTTGTCCTGGCTGTGGTGACACACCGATGTGAAATAAATACTGTGGAAATTAGTCAAGAGTGAGTCATTTCTTACCATTTGTAAGAAGGACTCAGTGGGTTTCACCTCTTCTCCGTTCTTCAACATTTTTTCTTGGGCATCCTGCTTCTTCAGCTCTGCCTCCAGGCATTTGATCTGCATTCACCAGTTAAGATTATTGCTATTATTAAAAAGACGACTGCTTCAAAAAGACAAGGACTGGGATTAATGAACATCTGTGAAACTAGCTTTCTTGTTTGTTTCTTGAATGTTCATAAACCACAATAAAGCTCAGTAAATAATTGATCAACTTTTCATCCAGATAAGACAATGAAAATAGATTTTGAGCAAGGATTTAGTGCTGCTCATTACCCTCCTGTGGAGTCCCTCCAGTTCTCCCTCGTGGCGATGCCTCTCCTCCTTGCTGGTGTTCTGGGCCTCACCCAGCAGTGCCTCCAGCTCCTCATTCCTCTCCTCCAGCTCTTCCTGGTCCTTGCGTAGCCTCTGGAGTTGCCGTTGCAGCTCCCTCACCTGTACAAGCCCATCTTCCATCGCCTCACGACACCTGACAGAGAATGATGGTGATTAAAGTCAGAGAGAGCAGGTGGGAACTTTAATTTCTCAAATTATTAACTAGGCTGCAGATATTGAGGAATTAATATAGTTACCGTTTGTGAATGTAATCTTTTTCGTGGCCAGACAGATTGTTGTGTGGTTCACCGCTAATGCTCTTGTCCTTTCGATCCTCTTTGGCTACAACTTCTTGGTCGGCATCATTTATTGCCAACTGGACAAACACAACACCAAACAATGCCAAGCTGCTGCAACACATTTAAAGTTTTTACTTACATTTTTAAAAAGGAGGAAAATACCAACCTGGTCCAAGAGATCTTTCTTCTCAGATTCTAAAGAGCGGACTCTCTCCCTAAGAGATCTGTTCTCAGCATCCAGTCTGTCGTTTTGCTCTTTGGCTCGCTGCAGCTTCATCATATCTGTGAAGAGATCAAACCATGACCATGAACATCTATAACAAATTATATTAGACATTAATGTTTTTTTTTGTTTCTGTTTTGCCTTTTAAACCTTATTGCAATATTACACATTATTTCACAAATATACTGTATGTACTAATTATGATGATAATAAGAACCATGGCAATTGAGGGGAAGGGAGTCAATTTCTCCAGAACAGTTGATTTGTTAAGAAACATGTATTCTTGATCAAATGAAACTGCATGAAGTATTTTAACTTACTGATGTGACTTTCTGTTAGGACTATCAGTATTCATAACCAGTCTGGTTATGCAACATTGTTTTCTAGCCAAATGTGGCAGCTGCTCTAAGATTTGACTGAGCCTCCTCAGAAAAGTCAAAGATTCAGCCAAAACTTTACCAGTATGAGCGGAAACATACCAACATTATTAAAAATGTTGCCGCAGCCTGGTCTGAAAGTCACACACTGAACGGCAGTTAAGTTCACACCCAAGTCTCTCTCACCACATTGTTTCAGTTTGTCCACTTCCTTCCTCAGGTTTTCTACTTCTTGGACTGTTCCCTGCAGCTCAGATCCTGAGATTATAAGCATATTTTTTAACTCTATAAAGATGTCTTTTAAAACACCTTTTCATATGCTGTTAATTACTTCCTGTAGCTGGTTATAATAACACACCAGTTCACATTAAAAATGTGGGCTACTGATGAAAAATAAATGTATAACATAACATTTAATATTGAGATTTCAGCAGGGGAAATTACTGTATGTGGATATTAAAACTTTAAAAAGGTCAGAGACAACCAGCTGGGTAGACAAGGGACTGGGGCTGTATGTGTAAATGTGGGCAATTCTGGCTACATGGGATACATGTGATGGGTAATGCCATCATGTGTATGTTTCTTACAACCGATTACTTTAGCAACAATGTGCAATATACAAAACTGTAAGTGTATACAATCTTCTCAAAAGAATCTCAAAGTCTAATACAAATTCACAATTCTGTACTGTAAATCTTTGCAACATACCACTTGGATCTAGGTTGTTGTTTTTGGAAACATCCAGCTCATTGGTGAGTCTGCGGATATCCTGATGAGCCATTGCCAGCCTCCTAGATGCCTCTTCCAGGTCCCGCTCAAGCCTCTGGCGCTCAATTCGCTCCCGGGAAATCTCCTCACTGTGAGCCTGATGTAAAAGAATAAAGCCTGAATGGTTAGAGTGGGTGGAGTGCAGCAGGAAAGAAGAATGGTAGTCAAGACTGGAGATTGGCCCAACATGCTGTTGTAAAAGACATGCATTCTGAGGTTGAGATTCATCATCACTGCTGGCCTGGAAAGGATCAAGGGCAACAATCTTATATGCCAGCATTCACCTGCATTGAGAGACCAGTGGGTCAAAAAGTACATGCTGTTACCAGTGACATGCCATTACTGTTCCACCCATTTCGAGCACTCGTCAGTTGTTAGAAAATGACATTCACAGATGTGTTACTGAGACAAGCAATGTCGTCTGCATCGTAGTGGTCATGCAGATATCAAGGCACATAGTCAGCGTGGAATGTATTTAAAAAAGTAGTACCACTCTGAAACAAGCTCTTTATCATAACATCAGCGTTAGTTACTTAGTTAGTATAAGCTGCGAGGTGGAAACCTACAGGGGTAATATTGTGTTTGTTCTGACCAGACCTGCGCAGCCCAAACAGCTTCTTCAATGGACTCTGGGATGAACACTGCTGAGGAGAAAGACCCATGTGTGTAGAATCACAACAGACACTACATAACTGTCACGTGGTATCCCTGTACTTTGGAAAACATAGGTTCTTCTTTTCTCCACAAACTTAATCCAACCTGAAGTTATGACCAGATAACTCAGCCACAGCATGACAATTACCTCACCTTCGTTACATTATCTATGGTTTTCTGCATATCCTCTCTGTGCTGCCTTATCTCCTCCCCCATTCTCTGGTGAATATGCTCCTGTCCAAGTGTCACAGAGAGACAGAGACTCACTTATCCACGTTTATATGGTCTCTGCATTTGCCTTGGATAGTTAACTATTAGGTTAGGACATGTTTATTTAAAAAGTTAACATATAAAGACTATACATTCATTGTTCAAGATGGTGGAGGCTGTGCACTTCCTCTAGAAGCCTGACATTTACAGTTCAAATTGTGAAAATGAACTACACCAACATAACATCTAATGTACGTAGGTCAGTCCTTTACCTGGTGGTGGGCTTCCCTCAAGCTGTCAGTGAGGCTCTGACTTTCCAATCTTCTCTCAGTGGCCTCTAGCCTTTCCAGTAGTGTGGCCCTCTCCACCAGCAGGTAGGCCACCTGCTCACTGGGGCTGCTCAAACCCATCTCCCCGAGGTCCTCCTGAGCCAACAACTCCGCCAGCTCCTTGCTCTGACTCTCTGAAAGAAAGCAGAGTTTTCCACTGGTCAGCAGTTTGATAGAACATCAACAAATTAGTACACAAGTACTGCTGTGTGGAAGTAGATTTAGGATAAACATTTTAGATCAATTCAATGACATTTTTCAGATCAATTAAATTTTAGACCATTCATGGCAAATAAAAATGTGTGTTGGGAATGCTCTGCTCAGGAGCCATGGAGAGCCAGGCTAGGCAACAACCCAAATGAAAGAAAGCCAACATTGCACTACATTTGACACTGAATTCACCTTGTTGTTGTCTGATCTGGTGAAGCTCTTGTCGCAAGTGTTCATTGTCTCTTTCATAGTCTGCAGTCAGACACTCACGCTCTTCCAGCAGCCCACGAATATGTGCAACATAACTCTCCACCTGGCAGACAAAGTGTAATTCAGCTGTGACTGACCATTTTCATAGTTTCAATAAAAAGTAGGAGCACACTACGTTAGGCTGGAAGCTTTCCATCATTTACAATCAGATTACAAGAGTTGGTGAAGTAAAACTCCAAAGAATCCAAAGTTCTCACCTCCTTCATCTCATTGGCCTGCTGGGTGCGTACAGTCTGCAGCTCCTGGGTGGCTGACTGGAGCTTTGCCTCACTGTTGAGCAGCTGCTGCCATAAGTGACGCTGTCGCTCCTCAACACTGGCCCCAGGAGGCAAGCCATCCTCCTGAAGCCGCATAGAAATCTGGTCCAGCTCAGTCCGCACCTGAGAACACAGAGAGGGAGCTGAATGTTTTGAGACCAGATATCATATTTACAAGTAAAGTAATCTGTTATGTTGTAAGATTTGTAAGAGTTCATAAAGTGAAATACCTCTAAGTATTGTGGTGAATCAAGTAGTATCGACAAATTAAGTTTGTCTGTAAATGAGTAGCCTTGGGCATAATTCTTGTCATTATAAAGCTTTGCTTGTTGCAGTATAACACACCTCAAGTCAAGTGTCAATTAGCTAAAAGCTGGTACAATTCCAAATAACTTCTTCTGCTGTATGCTGCTTTTCTGAATATGACACACTAGAACACCTGCAGCATTATTACTCGCAAATTACTTATTTTGCCAAATAAAATCCAGCAAACTATTCTGCAAACTGCAGCACTGATAAAAGCATTCAACATGAAGGTTGTCAGGCTCGCTGAAAACTGATCCATGTGTGTGACACATAGGAGAAGGCTACAACATCAGAGCGGCATGCCAGTACTAAACACCTGTTGCTGAATACAATACTGTACAATGTAGGGCTTGTAACTTGAGCAGGTCCCCCATGCAGCACTTAATCTACTAGTAAGAGCGGCCAGAGCTCCAGCAACATGCACCATATTGTCACAAGCTGGGTATCAGGTCTCACATGCCTGTTGTACTTAAACATCACAGCAACTGCTCTTTGCTGCTGCCATTGTGGAACAAACGGCTAAAAGATCAAACATTAACAACAAATGCCATCTTCCTTCTGTTATCTGTGCAAGATGTATTAACAGCCACTTTCACGTGTAAATCATTCATTTTTACAGTAACTTATAGTTAAGTTAAAAACAAACTGCAGACACTGTGGCCAGTGGATGTAAAAGCCAACAAAACAAAGGAAACATTTTTGAGAAACAGTTCTAACAAATATTTCTGGTGTCGAACGCTGGAACAAAGCATCCCAACTGTGGCTGGCATTATGTTATCTGTAGGCAAAATAACAACTATGAACGTTACCTCTTCGCGATCCATGGCCATGCATCAAGTTTGATGAAGGTGCATCTGTGAATGATTAACTTTTTTCCTCAATGTTAAAAGTGCTGATCCCAAGCAACAATTTATTCAACATAACACAGCAGAATTTGCAATGATGTGGCCAAGATCAGCAGATCCTCAAACTTCATCACTCCCATTGTTGTTGAAATCCATCCATGGAAACGTCTCTTGTCCTTGAGGTTCTCCTGTGAACGATGAGATACTTCAGAACAATGCTGTCATGTTAGGACCTGCAGTTACAAGCTTAGAGATTAGACCAGCTTCCTCAGTTTAAACAAGCCACACTCCAGTTTAACAGCTGAGGCTATGCAAAGCTTCAAGCTGATTAGCTATGTTGGATCTGCTGCTATATTATCATGTTATGGGACATTTAACATGGGCAGCAATAAGGGTAACACCTCTATCATCAGAGCAGGCGTTTTCTTGTCCGGCATTTGAAAACGTTGCGTTCAGCAACGCAGTGGGGACAGTGATGCTAGAGTTACTCCCAGTAAGTTAACGACTTCTGAGTTAAAAGTCTTTGTTTTCCAGCCAACTATTCTTCCCAAAATGTCTGACGAGGAGGAGCAAACGAGGGTTTTTTTGTAGGACAACCACTTGCATTCCTTTTGGCCACGCAAGCCCACTGGTCAGAAAGATGTGGTTCTCTAATAATCACAGATTTGCTGCCGTGTTAAGCTTGTAAATAACCAGCACTGACAACTGCGACTACCCGTAGCGCTAGCTGGTTAGCAAAGTTAGTTTCAAAGTTATCGTAGTTCACGTTCAGCTAACACTAGCTTGCTAACATTAGCCGTAGCTTTCTCCAGTGGCCGCAACTGGTGGACGCCGTGAGGTTCTCGTTGTGATAAATGAAAACTCCTGCTTAAACTCTAACTCCCACGCAGTGGTGAAGGTGAGTATGCACTGTGCGGTTAAAGTTATACTCACCTTTTAATGGGTAAAGGCGACAATAAAGCGGAGTGCTGAGGACAGGCGTGGCGGAGTGAATTGGCTTCTACTAGCACCTAGGCAACGGACCGTACCATCCTATGGATGCGGGGGGGGGGTCAATCCATCAGGGACGTTGCAACCAATTAACTTATGGTGTTAGAGTTAGTTTAGAATAAAATATCACAAGGAATATTGTGTCAACGACAGCTTTACAATTTATCACTAGTATTAACCCTAATGAGTTTGCTAACCGAGATAGGGCTTAGTTTAGCCTAAAATAAAGTTGCCCACTGCACCTAATGTATATAGTAATGTGTATAGGATGGGTCAAATGCAGAGGACAAGTTTCATTTCATGTATGTAAAATGCTGTATATACTGTGAAAATTACAATAAAAAGACTTTTTTTTTTTATCTAAACCATCTTGATCTCGAAAATTAGGTGCATCCTTGGCAACCAGTAAGTAATCCAGAAAAAGGTTTAGTTTTGAATGTATGTAACCTATACATTCAATCTTAATCGATAGGCTCGTTCGCCTATAGTGACAAAAAGCTGCAGTCAGGTCAGTTTCCATCAGCCTTCAAAGAATATACAGAAAGTAACAGGAACGTTATAAATTTATCTTGCCAGTATATTCATTCTATATCTATAATGTTATTATTACTTTTTCTTTTCATATTTCTGTACATTTGTAAATTACTTTGCACTTTACTACTTGATGCTAACTGCATTTCGTTGTTTTGACAATAAAGTTGAATCAAATCAAATTAAATCATGTTGGTCCACTACCTTGCAGACCACGTTTGGATATAAAAATACACTTTATTATTATTATTATAATTATTATTATTATTATCACCAACCACACAAGATATGTTTGTTAATCGATTAAAGCTTCATTGCACAACATGAGACATGAAACAGTCAACAATCTGGAGTTAAATATTAAAATCACACAGACATTTAGGGGGAAAAACTGGTCTTTGTTGTGCAAACTAAGAGCCAATCTGCTCCTGGATCCCATCATGCCCTGGGTCTTGCGGTCGTTGCAGAGAAACTGCGGCACCTGGCTCTAAAACCTGCGGCCGCCTCGATCTCGTGAGGTTATCGTTGTCCACGTGTGCACGACGTCAGTGCGAGCCTAATATCGTGCATTAGAGACCAAGCTGTTCTCATTGAGCCATGGATATAAACAGCAGGGGGCGACATAGATAACATTTGTGTTTTTTATGATCCCAGCATTCAGTTCGTAGCTCAACACCCTATAATATTTCTAAAATGAATGGATACAGGTATTATTATTATTATTATTATTATTATTATTACTTTTTTCATGTGCAGAAATACTTTCTCAACTTAGATGTGTAGTTGGCGTTTTAAAACTTAATCATTTGTTGTTTTGCAGTAATCGCCACTGACCCTACCACATGATCTGGAGCATGTTTGCACAGTGTGTCCCGCCCAGATGTTTTCTGTGTGACCAGTGCACTCTGAATGCTCATTATGTTCTGGTGTAGAAATGTGAGCTATGTTGCAGCTGTGTGTTTATTTATTTATTTTCATTTCTACCCCAATAAGACTGGGATCATGAATGGGTGAGGTATAGAAGAATGCTCATTATGCCGGAGAGCAATCCAAGTTGACTGTTTACAGAAGAGCTCTTTTCATGTGGTTTTATGTGCCTCCAACTGCCCATGGGTGGGTCACATTTGAGTCTTTTTTGGATGGTGATGCTGTACTGAGGGACTAGGAGGCAGAGCAAAAGGGAGCTCTGTTCTGCACAGAGGAAATGGGCGTTCTCCTTGCAAAGTCTGGATGAAGTGGTTGAAAAAATAAAGGAGGTGTGGCAATGCTGGAAAGGAGAGGACCACCAAGTGGGGCACAATGTTGTTAGAGTGGTGAGGCTGCTCCTAAGCTGTTCCTGAGATCTGATTGAGAGCAACAGGCAATACCCGGGTAGGTAGATATTTCCTTGACTTTTTAAATGAATACCTTGTTAAATCATGGTGCTAATTTTAAAGCAAAGTTAAAATTAGATTTTAAAGCAAATGTGTCATTGTAGTGATTCTTGCATCACATCTCCTAATAGGTCTAAAAGTAATGGGTTGCAAAAATCAAGCCATCAAAAAGATGCATGTTTTTATTATTAGACATTTTGTGCCAAAGCAAGATAACTTATTTTAACAACCCTGCAACATGTATGTAACATATTTTATTTATTCATTTTATTTTTGTAATCAGCATATTTAAAAATTATTCTTTTCATAACCATTAGTTTTTTAAACCATTTTCACATCATTTTTTTTTTTGCTTTCATTAACTTTCATATGATGGATGAGATTTAGTGTAATGACATAATTTGACTGTAATTGTGACTCCACCGCCCACCCAAATGGACCTCTCTTACAGATAGAGATCTACACAGACAATTTCATCCTGTTTCTTATTTCCCCCTACGTCTGTTTTTTTTGGTCTTACTTTATGTGTACTTACTGCAAACTGAAAGTACTACTACTTCTTCCCTTGCCTCTTTTGAGTTTGCTTGTGCTCTACTGCTGTAGCTACGATGTAAAAGAGCTTTGTAAAATCACAGGCTTTCCCTCAGACTTTAATTTCCTCTGAATTCACAGGCCAAGCAGCTTTAATGAAATCCAAATGTATGCTGAAATACAGATTGTTTACCCTACGCAATGAAAAAAAAAACACCATTCAGAAGGCTAGAGAGGTTAATTGGGTAAATATTTTGGAATCATTTAGACTTCAGTAGGCCCTCTGCAGGTTCTCTGCAGGTTTGTTGTACAACGGCAACACTGAAGGCCAGTCAAGGAGAAGTTTGTTTTTTTTAAATAACTCATTGCACTCTGTTCTGAAGCATTGCAACACAGTGTATACTCTGTTCAGCTACTCACATTTTCCATCCAATGTTTCAAGGCAACGCAGGAACATTCCCTAGCACTCATTTTCACTGTGGAAGCAACAAACTTGTTAAACTGGTCAACTACCATTTATTTGCTAACTGTAATGTTGGATGCAGTTAACCCGGGAAGCCTAAATTTATACTGTTGTGTTTGTTTGTCGGCAGGGAACTCAAAATGGCCTACCTGCTCATGTTTGTGACCCTGCTGCATCTCATCAATCTGGCAATGCTGTTCATTGCAACCATGGAGAAGGTACGAGTCATATTTGGGACGTGATGTTTGTTCACTTTAACTGCATTATTTATCATAAGTGCAACATATCCAGCTGTGTGCATTGTGTCTAATCTCTCTTTAAAGTCCTGGTGGGAGTGGGATGGCATGGAGAACTCAGACCTATGGTACAACTGTAGGTTTGACAACGTTACAGGAGGCTGGTTCTGTGCATCCTCCAAAGAATCTGGTAAGAAACAATTTCATTTTGTACACCTCCATAAAAATTACACAAGTAGGTCAAATCTGAGGACTAAGACTGTTTTTTTAGATGTGGGAATAATTTCCTTTCTCAGAGTGGCTTCAGGCAGTGCAGGTCCTGATGGTTCTCTCGGTGGTCTTCTCCTCGATCTCCTTCCTGGTGTTCCTGGGTCAACTGTTCACCATGTCTAAGGGTGGACTCTTCTACTTCACCGGGCTGTGTCAGGTCTTTGCAGGTAACAGTGGAGTGAAACAATGTGCCACCGTAATGTCTCTGTGTCACAAGACCATTTGGAAATGGGTGATGCTTGCTCTTAGGAACTGGGAGTGGAAGCACATGTCTGATGTCCTTGGCTGGCAAGTAAGCTAAACATTAGGAGACTGGACCCTCTATTTTTTGGGTGCAGCAGAGCTAGAAAATTGTACATCTCCAGTGCGAGTTTGTTGTTGGGCAAGAATCTGCTACCTGATACATTTTTGTACCCTTATCATTTGTACTTTTAGAAATACAATTTTGTACTGCAAGCCAGTAAAAGATACCATTAACCAATGGTATAATAATTGAGTACAGTGTCTTTCCTTTTTTTGTTTTTTTTGGGTGAAAATAGTAAAAATTTTTTTTTTTGGGGGAGGAAGAAAATTTTGGGCCCAAACAAACTGACATACCTCTATTTTTTCCATGTTGAGTGAGTAACACAGCCACATATTTTGCATATTATTAACTTTTCTGTGATACAGTCTCAAGAAAAACTGAAATGTTGTGATGTTTTTATGTTGTTAAGTCCCAGCACAACATGTAGAGGTGGACTGGGGATGGTTGTTGCTATCACTCTATTGTATGTAACATTAATCGAAAGTATATGAAATAAAAAGAGGTTACAAACTTTTTCACACACCTGGTCCTAAAAAAATCCTCATATTTCCCTTTTTTTTTTTTTTTTTTTTTAGGGCTGACTGCTTTTTCTGCAGTTCTCATCTACACATTGCACAATAAGGAAATCCTTCAAGACTCCAGAGAACTGACTGCAGGACACTTTGGCTACTGCTTCATCCTGGCCTGGGTGTGTGTACCCTTGTTGCTGTTTAGTGGGGTCATATACATCCACTTGCGCAAAAAAGAGTGACCAAGAAAAGGAAAAATATGTCAATAACACTATTGGAAAAATACATTTTAATTTGCTTAACTTCTTGTTAATCAGATAAACGAATTTTGCAGGAGTCACAGAGTCACAGTTGCCTATGTTATGGTTTTTGCTCAGGCTTCAGTTAATGTGATTATATGTTTGGAAATAACCAAGAAATAATGGGCTATCTCTTTAGCAAACATTGACTCAATAGCAATATTATTTACAATGCTCGGCTTCTGTTTTAAGACATGTTTACTATATGAGGTTTTTGTTGTTCACTGTTGACCAAGGAATGCAAATTCCAAAGCAGCGTTATGGTTTTTTTTTTTTTAGTGCTGTAGGCCTTCTTTGGCATTTGAACTGCTTTAAATTTTCCCTATAGAGCAGACTGGAAATATATATATTTTTGTACCTGAAGCTGATATGTGGAATATAGCCTATTCAATAGCTGCTTTGCGAGTTGCATTGTTGATACTAAATGTAACCATAAATTATAATAAAGTGCACAATAAATACCATACAAGTCTGTAAAGACATGATTATTTGATGATATATTTAAGCCTTTAAAAAAAAAAAAAAAAACACAGACAATGCCAGGGGACACAAACATAAATCATAATATGTTAAAGAAGTTGTACAAGATAAATAAATAAATAAATGTAAATGTTTGGATTGCTTTCTTATTTTGTAGGGAGTGATGTAACGTATTGTGTGATTTCACTTTCAAAACTTCAAGAATAGGACATTTATGGATGTGTATTTTTGCAAGAATTAGGATCAAATTGGTGACATAATACTGATTTCTTTTACTAGAAGGGTAAGAAGGAAAAAAAAAGCCAAACAATACATTTTCATATGAGAGGGTAAGATAAAAGAAACAACAAACTGGGAAATAAAAGCACAAATATCTTTCCACACAGTATTTTAGTTTCAGCTGTGGCTTTACAAGCAGGGAGGCAGACTGCTGTGGTCGTTGCCATAGCGACCGTAAACTTCCAGTTGCTCAACAACTAGTGTCCATAGGTTCACTTTATGTTGGAAAAGCTAGCTAGCTAATCTCAAACGGACTTTTCTTTTCATAATGGAGGCTAAACCTGACGTTTTGGGGATATCATCCAAGATCATTTCTCTTGCCTTCCCCAAAGGAACAGAGAAGTTGTGTGAACTTTGTCAGAGAGAAGCCCACCTGCAGTGCACCCAGTGTCGGGTCACCTTCTACTGGTAAGCTCGGGTTATGCTAACGTTAGCTATAGCCGGCTGTTCACGGCTGTCGGCACCATTTATTCGGTGGAAGCATAATGTCCAGCATTTCCAGTCGTGTTCATTTTGTGTGCGACTTGGTGAAAGCATGTCTACAGTTTGGACGGTAGGTGGCAGTGTTCGCCATATTTTGTTCACGGCAAAAAAAAAACACGTCGGCACGAAGAGCGTTCATGTGACTGTGTCTTCGAGGAGGAGGAGGAGGAGGAGGGAGGAGGAAGGAACAGCTGGAAATTAAATTACCACAACGGTTATTTTCGTTCATGTGACTGTTGCCTGGGTCTGGTCGATCATTTCAGCTTTTTTATTATTTATTTTTATTTATTTTTTTATGTCAGCTGCATCACCTTTGGCGGCGGTGGACATCCCTGCAGACGTCTCATAAGATGGTGCTCGGTGAAAAGCCTCATTGGCACAGTGTGTGAGAGTGAAGGGGAGAGCATGTGGTCGTAGCCCTCCCTGCAGGGATTTATGTAAAGGGATGAGCCACTAAAGCCAGGAGCTTACAGCCACTTATTGTGCTTGCTTCCCTCTCAGTCTGCAAAAGGAACTACAAGTCAAGCACATTTCTTGAATTGGATGAATTGTTAGCCTACAGGACATTCAGCTGAACCTCCAAACAATGGGTAGAGGGGGAGAAAATGACTTTTCGTTAGAGCTGAACCAAATACAGTAGATTATACATGTGGCCAGTTAAGAGTTGAGCTTTTGTTATTTGTCAGAGCAACAGTGTTATGTCTTTGTAATAGGTTACTTTGGTTTAAAATAAAACTTTAAATCTATCACACTGTTAGGGTTGAGATTTTGAGGTTTATTTGAGGCCTTAATGAGCCAGATCATATTTATACTATTTATAACTATTATCCTGAATAACATTTCCAGTGATCCTTAATTATCAGGCAGATTGAGTAGTATAATGAAAAGAAAGCTCAGCAGAGACCAGAAAGTGCAGTGGGCCCTGCGTTCTGACATGACCCACTGACACACACACACACACACACACACACACACACAGACACAGGCTATGTGAGCGTTACTGTTGATGTGACGTGGCCAGATCACTGCCTTCTGACTGCTTCTGTCTCAAGAAACACAAATGCACTGCAGTGAGCACACATGCTCCTCTGTAGAAAAAAACGCAAGGAAAACCAAGACAGTTTCCACAGAAGTGTGCAGGAGAGGAGAGCCAGATGAACAAAATTACAGACCAGTTATGTAATGGCATACAATTTAGTATGCCCTCTGTGCACTTGGATGATATTTTCTAAATGGGATAGAGGCTGTGCTTTGGTAATGTTAGCACTTCAGTTCAAATCAACTGACATATACACATACACATACTGTAAAGAAACATTTTACAGTTAAGCACACATTGTTGTATCTGTCTGGCGATTTGAAGGGAGTCTGATCCACACTTTTAACCCATTTTTGCCCAGGATGTACTTACAGTATAAAATGCAACTCAGCTGTTTAGCTCATAGCAGGGAAAAGGGGGTTTGATTAACAGCTTGAGCCAACATCAGTCACACTGCACCCAGAGGGGAGATTCCATATGCACAAAGCTATGTGGCTCTTAGGTGGCTTAAGGGAGAGAGGGAAACTGAAGCAGGGAGTCAGTTTGGGAACATAAGAATCAGTTTAAGTTGCAGTCATTTAAAAAAAAATCTGTTTGTATTCCTCAGTGATGCAGAGCACCAGCAGACTGACTGGGTGGGGATCCACAAGAGAATCTGTCAGCTGCTTGTTCCCATTCGCACCCCAACACTCTTTAGTCTCCAGGCGGCTGGCCGCATTGAAATACAGCTTAAAAAGGTGAGGGTGCATGTGAAACATTGGGAACACGTATGGAAGAATATGAAACAAAGAGCACAGGACTCTTGTTTTGACTTTGAGTCTAGTGTACATTCTCACTGTCAAGGAAAATGTAACTTAAGTTGCCAAATTCAAACCTGGAGTACACAATAATAAAAATAAAATCTCATGTAGATTGTCAGGAAACAACAAACAACAAAAACACACAAGAACCCTGGATCTTCGTTGTTACTTTCTTACTTCTTTCCTTTCTTTTACTTGTGAAAATGTTGTGAAATACATTTTGGGATCGATGGAGGTTGATGAGGAAGAAGGGAGAGATTCCATTACATGGATGTCACTACAGGGATACAGAAGCTAACGCTGAATATCCCTATGTGTATTGTCAGTAAATAACAGTACTCTTGTGAATTGTTATGTAATGTTCCTGGAAGAGTAGTCAGATGAATTAATGTAGGGAAAACAACCTGATGTGTACCTTGGATTTGGTCCCCTTAGGCAGAGCTGATTGAGATTTGCAGGTCGGTGGCTCAGAGCAGTCTGTCTGAGGGGAAACACCAGGAGGCTCTGCCTGCCGCCCAGTTCTGCCTACGCTGTTCCATAGACGTCCATGGTCCCAGTACTATCCACCTGGTCCCTGCCTATCTGCTCCTGGCTGAGGCCAACATGGGTGAGGAAGGAGCTCAAAATGGTTTTCCAGCTCAAATTGTCTCCTTTCTCCTTCCGAAATGTTAAATGCATGACTGTGTCTGTGTGCACCTATGTATGTTTGTGTGTGTATTTGTGCTTGCATTTCCAGGTTTGGGTAATCTAACCTTGGTCTCGGAGCTCCTGTCGCAGGCTGAGTGGGCGGTGTTGAAGAGCCCAGAATGTGGCCACACAGTCCACCATCAGCTACACAGGAGCCTGGGCCGCCTCCACATGGCGACTGGGAACCTGGAAGCAGCTCTGCTTCACTTTGCAAATGATGTCTGTGTCGTAATTAGTACGCTCACCAGAAATGACTTTAGTACATTAAGTATTTTCAACTGTTAAATAACTTTTATTGATATTATGAGGAGCAAAATGAAAGCCACAACTCTGTTTCTGCACTTTGATGTACAGTATGTTGTTCCTTTCATGTCATATGCACCTACCCAACACTGGAAATCCCTGTTCTATATGAGTATACTTTGTAAAAAATCTAATTTTTTTCAGGTTTACTTTGCCAGTGAGGAGTATGGTCTGGATAGCACAGTCACCTGTGGTGGCTACTTTCTCATGGCTAATGTGTTTGCCAAACAGGGGAGGATGCCTATTGCTTGTTCCTTGTACTCTGAGGTAAAATAAAAACAGATCTGGTGTGATTATGATCATTTTATTTTTTGTTCATGTGTTTCATGCTTTATCCTCTATTGCTGCTGTAGGTGGCACGTACTTGGCACTGCCATCTGACCAAACTCCTCAAGACCCACGTCCAATATGTCCACAATCCTGACATGATGTTGGAGCCCTCTTATGGTAAGCTTTGTCAAATAAAAGATGTAAGTAAGTAAAATATTATAGAACTATACAAAACCACCAATAAAACCATATAAAACCATACATTTAGGTTTCGTCCACCTTTCCATTTTGTCCATTCTAATATCCACGGTGCAGTATTAAAAAAATGACATCACCAATCCATCATTTGCTCCACCCTCTAAACAGCGGAGAGATCCATTGGTGTATCGGTGAAAAAATAAGGTCAACACTACTATATTTAGCTGAGCTGTCTTGCTGTGCAATCTGGAAGCTAAACCCCAGATTTACACTACCATGCTTAGGGCTGACTAGAGACCAGTGCTGACACATCTCTGGCTGTGCAGCATCCGCACCAATACCCTCTATCGAAGCTGCTGGCCTACATATGATGCTAAGCCTGTTAGCTGCAATGCAATTTGTCAGGATTTCTGGGATATTTACCAGGGGGGAATAGTTATGCAAGGGAAGGATGTTTATACAAACGGTACAGACACAAACATTTAGTCCTAGTGTTTGGGTTTTTTTTTTTTTTTTTTTTTCAATTTTCAAGTATACAGTGTATTTATGGCCCTGGTAATATACTGTTAAATCTCAAGGACATTTGCATTTTGTCTCTATCTGTGACTTCAGACAAAGCCAAGCAAGTCGAAGTGGACGAGATGTTAAGAACCATGTTGGACTTTGAGCAAAATGGCTCGAGAAAAGACTCCACTCAGATTGCGCTGTTGGCTCACTGCCTGGCCATGCTGTGGTTCCTAGGAAAAGACTCCCTAAAGGTGAGGTGACCGGACATTAAAGGTTCAGTATGACACAATGACACATTTTCCCTCTGCCCCCCTTTAGAGGCCTGCCTCAAAATGGGATTACCTCTAATTGGTAAAGCCGCAAAGAACAGGTTTGAATTAGCAGGGGTTGACCGTCTCGACACTCTGATTCCGCCTTGGTTTTCAATCTCTCTGTAATACCACCGGAGGCTATTTGTGTGTGTAAAGTCCACCTGTTTAGATGTGAGAGGAATGAACAGATCTCTAGCGTGTCAGGCCAGTTGAGGGGATGAGGCAGCGATGGCGTAGTAAATGCGTCTGTTCGACTGACTGCACAGGAAGTTCTGTACCAGAGAGGTAGGTGAATCTCACAGACTTAAAACCTTGTCGGGGTCTAAGTTCAGTGGGTTGGATGAGATCTGCTGGCTAAGCACAAGCAGCCTCATTCTAGCAAACAGTAAACATGTAACTACACCCAACACCAGACAGTTACACAAATACACTACAATATGTTTATGTGTCTGGGTGCTTCTGGTGGTTTGGTGTTTTTTTAGAGCTGGATGAAATATTACTGGAGTTTTTTTTAACTTCACCAACAGTTACACCAGTTCCCGAACTACTGGGAGTCTTTTTTAATGGTTCTCTATGGTCAAAATGTTGAGCCATTTGTGACGTTGAGGAACAACATCCTCAGCTCTAACCCACAGTCATTTACTTAATGTACATATGTGTATGTAGACACTAAAGGATATTTAATTTTCAGTGGGGGAGAGTAGCGTGAGGGAGGGATTTATGAGTTCATAACATAAAAAATAAATCCATATTGGAAAATGCCTTAAAGCATAAGTGAAAAACAAATTTCATCAACAACAACAATCAAATAAATCTGGCCACACAGGATTGGTTTAAAGATATTTTTTGGGGCCTTTATTGCCTTTAATTGATAGTGATAGCCCAAGAGTGACAGGAAAGGGGGGAGAGGGAGAGGGGATGACACGCAGCAAAGGGCCGCAGGTGGGAGTCAAACACATGGCCGCTGCAGCGAGGACTCTGCCTTTGAAAATGGGGCGGCAGCTCTATCAGATAAGCTATTAGGGCACCCTAAAGAATAAAATGTGCAGTCACTCTGTACAGCACTCGAGATTAAGGATGTCCCGCTGTCCATTGGGAAGATAAAAATAGCACCTGGGACACAAAGATATAGTGAGCAACTTTCTTGCTACAGTAAGCAAATCTCAGACCCTCTTAGCGAATTTATTTCTAAAACCTGACTAGCAACAAATTTAGCAACTTCTTCAAAAAGAAATATATAAATATAAATAAATAAATATAAAATATTATATGTTAATTCATTCCCATGCATGCTGCTCAGAGTCATTGCCATCTACAGCTCTTCTGCCAACTGTGCTGGGGTCTCCCCCTCTCCTCTTGTGCCAGGCACTGGCAGCCAGTAGTTGTGGCATGTGGGGCACGTTTGACCTTTTCTCTCACTCTCCTCTATTTTTACATCAAATACAATGCCCCTGTAGTGAGTTTCTGATTATTTTTTGCTGGAGTCTGTGTATGTAAATTTCCACCGCTGGATACCAATCTGATAAATAAACAAGAAAGAATAATTCAACCAATAACTAAAATAATAATGAACACTGACTGTGGCCAAACACCTAGGGTGATTTTATTTCTTTATTTATATATAAGGGCAGGGGACAACTAGCAGAGGTTCCATGGCAGACCAAAGTGAGTCAATGGTTATTAAACTATATTTATTATGTAGAATGAAAAAGAAAGAACTTCAATTTTGATCAATGGTTGTTGAAAGTATAATTCTGGGTGGTTTTGGGACACTGGAGAAAAAACTGATTTTGAGCCCTCTCTAATTGTCTCTTTTTCCTTATAATTATTGAACTACAACATAAAAAATAATGACCATCCATCCTCTTTTTATGTAATAGTACAACCAAAATGGTAATTTTGGTTGTAGTTTGACTCCTGCCCATGTTCTTGTCCACATCATGGTTCCATTGTGGGTTGCAGTGCTAGTGCTGTACTTTAAGTACATTATTGTAAGAACATACAGTTGTTATTAGTACAGTGTATTGTTATTTTGAGGGTGTTGTGGTTACATTCTTTCACTGTTTATCTGGGATTCAAGGTATGTAGAAACAGCCTGTAGCTTAGTGTATCAGCTTTGTCTTCACTTCTGAGAAAGCTGTGGGAGGATATTACACTGAACACTTGAGTAATACACATACAATGCATAGCCCCAGCTGTTTATAAATCCTGGGAAACTTAAGGAATTCCATGGATGCCACTGCAAACTTTGACGAATGCCACAATGAAGTTGGCAGGTATCTATCTAAGCATGCAAGGTTTGGTCAACAGTATCAAACAATGCTTCAATATCCTAATTTTCTCTCAATTAGAAACTATACCTGGCAATGTTACAGCCTAGCAGATCAGATTGTGGGAAGGGTAAAGTGGGATAAGTTAAGCTGACCGGGTTGCAGTCCAATTTTCAGTGATATGATTATATAAGTCAGCTTTACCCTCCCCGGAGAGCCTAACAGCTGCAGCTGCTGTGTTTGTTTCCGTTTGTGTTTGTGTGCCAGGCATTGGGATTTTGCAGCATTGCCCTGCAGGCCAGCCAGCTGATACCAAACCATGACCTGACAGAGCCCATCCAGAGACTGCTGCAGCTGGTGCAGACAGAAGCACATCCTGGTTCTGACTAGTCACCGTACCTGCCCTGCCCATTCCTCTGCCTGGGGACCTTCTCCATCAGGACAACTGTTTTAACCCCACACTGATTCATCCCCATGCAAATGTAGAGACCGCTGACAAATAAAACCTTTATGTGTACAGAGCTTATGGTGTCATTTAGGGTTTACCCAGTTGTTGTGAACTGGTATCATAAGCGAATAATGAAATGTTTGCACAAACATTTGTGTTGTTACATATCTCTAAGCACATAAAAACAAATGTTGATATAGAAATGCTTCATTAAAGCAGGAAAAGGGAGGAGGACACATACTTTCATTGGTTTTCAATAATGACTCATCTTTATTTTAATCTAAAAAAAAAGAGGGATATATATTTACATCATTTTGCACATTTTTGAATTACATGAATTTGGGACCCAGTTTGTAACACTGTCGGAATGATACGTAACAGAATGATGGTGAGGGAATCTGCTAAAAACCTTTTTTATGCAATGTTTTTGCTTATCTCATGTCTCATTCAATTCAGCATATGCAGATAGAATTAATGATAAGATTTCTAATGTCTATGTATCATCAACAGAGAGCTGCATTATTTCACTGAAGCATAAACATTGCATTTCCTCCTGCAAATCAAAGTATACTGTAAACCTTTCAGCAAACCTCAGGTTCTTTTTAAAACACATTGACGTAAAAAGGAACCCGGTGATTGCTGTGAAATCCTACATATTATATACAATTCTGAAACATTTATTCATTATATCAAAACAAAGAATCACTTTTAAAATCATCTCACTACTAGTGTTATTAGTACTAAATTATACAACAAAATGTTTGTTTTTTGGCATTCAGATTCATTTTTTTGTGTTGAGAGGCAACAAAACATGGAAACACTCGGTTTTCCGCATATTCCCTTTTTAATTTTCGAGCCAAATATACATTAGCAGCAGTTTGGAATTAAATAGTAACCTTGTGCTCTGTTAGGTACACAGTGACTAGTCTGGAGGTCCCTACATGTTTGTTCCAGGCTGGCCAAGCACCACACAGAACAATACACATTCAATCATTTCATGATTTACACACATTTCTTCTTCCTTCCTTGTGTCACTAGCATGCGGTACCCATTTCTTTCAGTAGCTTCTATGCCGTGTATCCACTTTATCACTGATCTTTAAAGACTGAGCAGAAAGAAACCCACCTGAACTGGGACTTTGACTCAACTAGTATCCTCAAATCAATGCTCCCAAAGGAAACCAGACAATGAAAAGGCATTTTGAAAGTTGTTAGGGCACAGTTAAATGAATCGATGGCTAATCTGTCTGCAAATGGATAATGTATAAAATACAGATTTTAAATAACGGGCTGCGAGAGAGAAATGATCATTTCACTCTTTTCTATGGCTGGATTTTTAATGTCTTGAAAGGATATGTGAGCTTTGATTTACACTGATGTACACAATGTAGAATGACACAGGCTTCAATACAAAGACAAAGACTTGAAAAAAAAAAAATAGGGGGACAACAACAACTGGAGATAGTTATGTTGGGATGTGACCGGCCCTTGCATGTCAGGAGAGTGGACATCAGCGGATTTCACAGTTTGTTTGTCAGATACTTTCATTATATAGATACCGGACAACATCACAGTAGTGTAAATGGTGTTATTCTCTCAGTGGAGCCACTGTGATCACTCGACGGCAGACTTTAAGTGTGTTGTCTGGCGAGTTTAGATTTGGCAACCTCAAGCAGGCCCGTTAGATCCAGACAGTTAGTAAATTCGGCCCACAAGAAAGGAAAATAAAAATCAAGCTTCACAGCGGTTTCACTTTATTGACACAATATTAGTGCACACAAACCACTTTTTTTCTTTAAAAATACCATAAATTAGGAAGAAAACAAGGAACAATATAAAACAAGCAAGGAAAAAAAGTGCATGTTAACCATGGTATACACCACATTGTCTTATACTGTAGTTTACAACCTTTTTTTCATTGTTGTTTGTGTATCTTTTTGTCTGCCTGTAGGTATGTGTTGTGTTGTTTGACATGTCTCTCGCTCGGATGGATATGTCGTGCCTTTCGGGGGTCAGGGGTGAGATCCAGGCTGCTTCCCTGAGTTGTGTTCAACAGAAAGGGTTATGAGCTTAAAAACGTGGACGTCACTACGTGGAACAACTTATGGATCACATTTGTGCTTTTGATCAGAGCCGTAAATTATTCTTAATGAACAGCATTTACCCCGGCGTACCCTACCGCTATGCTGATGGTGATTTCAGAAGGCGTACAGGAGGTAAATCAACAGGAACAAACCTGCAAATAATAAGCTCTTGGCCACTGAAATCCCTGGATTTTTTTTTTCTCCTTTCTTTTCTAAGGAAATAAAAAAGTAACATTCTATTCAAAGAGACTGCAAAAATATAGTTTCCATTTTTTATTTGTACATCATGCCAACATATTTTGTGGGTTAGGATGCTTCATTTTTTTTTTAAATCGAAAAAACAAGTTGAAAACAATAAAAGTAAAATCTACAAATCATATGACCGAAAATCACATCTAACTAAATCCAGTAATGTTAGCACCAAATTTCAGTTTCAATCTGTGAATATTGTAGGTCTGTACAAACAAGTTTGTCCACAGTAGCTTAAGAAAATTTGTTGGCAATTATTTCAGCCGTTCCAGTTTCATCAGCTGTTTACTAGTATGCAATGAAGCTAATTCACTACCTAATATTTACAAAAGAACTAAAAAAAGAAAAAAAGAAATAATAAAGACATAAAGGGAAGGAACACCTGGTGTATCAGGGGGCATTTGAAAACCACAAAGATCCTGGCTGATATGTACTGTATGTTTGAATATCTATGTCATCCTATGGCAGTGAGAAGTCACTGTTTTGAGGTATATTTTGTTCACACTGTCTCATGTCTACTAAATATGTCATCTGAGTGAGAGAGAAAAAAAAATGCATCTGTTTATTATAAAGTGCTAGACATTGAATGAATTTTAAAAAGCAGCAGACTGCTGCTGCTGCTGGTAAGGCTAATCAAACAAGCTATCTAGGAATGTAAATGTTAAAAATTGAGTAAATGGCACTCAATTAATTTTTATTTTCCAGGTTGTAAACAGAAGATCTGCTGTGTTATTTCTACTACCTCGCACAGGTTAGGGCAGTTTTGCTTACATTTACATCAGCATCAGCCTGGTTAATTCACAGTGAGCAGAGACATTCATTTATGGACACCATGCTAGCACCTAGGATGTTTTTCTGGTGCTATAGGGATGTAATCTGGGTTAATCATATTCTTATTTACACATGAAAATCACTTTGACACTACAGCGTCAGCCTTTTATTCACTGTCAATATAGCAGCTCCAGCTACATTTTAATATGAGTTATTCATATTTTAAATTGGGGTTTTATGGAATTTAATTACAGGAAGAAGAGATATTTTGTGTTAACTGGTAAAAATTCTTTTTTTTTTCTCATTTCACATATTATGAATAATGAAAAGCGGAAAATTTGACATGAAATTCCTCCATTTCCAGTTGCTTCCAGTTGTTCTGTGTCCTTGACAGATGCACTTCATTGCTACATTAGAACAGGCAGTATAATGTGCCTAGCATGAGGATGTATTCCTCTCCCAAGGAGCTAATCACTTGAAAAAAAACACTTCATTTCGCCTCCAATCCACCAAACCTGACTACAGTCTCAGCAGGAAACCCCTTTTTAATGACAACATACTGTAGATTCTTCTTTAAATAATGTTATTGTAGTGTAAGGATAAAAAATACAACAGGTGTATGCCTCTATGGGAATCCCACACCCAGCCCAAAAAACATAGTCACCTTCACCCTCACTATTTTGCAAAGAAAGAAACTAGGAGAGGCCAATTTGGCAGTTATCGTATGTACTATATCCCACTCTCGCCACCATGCTGCAGTGTAAGCTAAGTTTGGATATTGGGGTTTGGGAGGAGAGGTGCAAAGCGAGGAGAGTCAGGGGAGCAGCCTCAGATCTTTGTTTTTTTGGGGGGGGGTTAGTAGGAGAAGGCTCATGTTTTGGTGTTTCTATTTCTGTGTCTGTATACGTGTCGTTTTTCTCAGCTCTTGTTTTGCATTTTAACATCTTATGTTTTAATAGTTTTTGGATTGATATGTGTTTTTAAAAGGAATGTCTGTTGCCATGCGTACAGGTGTGTGTATGTGTGTTTGTGGGTGCATGAAGCTGCTTGAATCTCACTCAGTCAATAACTTGATTTCATTGGCGAGGAGGGTGTTGAAGTTGTAGGCTGGATCAGGGAGATCGGGCAAGTTGGGGGCCGTGGACTGGCGGGGCGAGGACTGGGAGGGCTCGGCCAGCTCCGGGTCGCTCTCGCTGGAAGTAGAACCCATGCTCATGTTGCAGACGGCCTCGGGTAGCGAGCCGCCGCCGGTGGGCACGGGGCACACCTCGGGCTCGCTGCTGGTCTCGCTGGTGCTCGACACGACGGAGAGCAGCGACATCTTACGGGTGAGGCGGCTGGGGAGCATCGACAGGGCGTAGTCAGCGACGATGCCCGCCACGTCCATGCCACAGGCTTGGTCGAATGCAATGAAGCCCACGTTGGCATTGGCCTCGCAGACCACAAATGAGCCATCATTGAGCTGCAGCAGGTCAATGCCACACACATCCATGCCGAGGATGTTAGACACCTCTATAGCCAGCTGCTTCCCTTGCTCGCTCAGTGGGCACATCATACCTACACCACCTAACAATCCAGAGAGAGATATCAAGCTGGTTAGAACCAACCCCAATCTTTGGTTCGATCCTCACTGTCAAAAGAAATAATTTTAATGAATTTTGCAATTTTCAATATTCAGCATCATAGAATCAAACACCACATCAGATCCATATAGTCAGTACAATTGTCAACACAATCTGCTAAATAAATGCAGAATAATCTGATGACTTATGTCCTGAATGTGTCACAGCGCATTACAACCTCAACTAGACCAAAACTGCTCATGGTCTGACATTGAAAATCAGTCTCGTCAGCTGGAATGCGGAGGTCTCTAGGGCAGATTCAGAACAAGCTTGTTGATTTGGCACTGGCTGCCGAAACCGGTTTATGGAGCAGATGGAGTGTTAAAAATTTGAAATACGCTACGATCATTAAATACTGTCCTCACACACAGGAATGATTCGAGCAATCCAGTGACATACTGACTTAAATGTGGCACACAGAGCAGTGGTTAATGTTTTTTTCTAATGATCTTTGGTAATTAATGCCTGTCTTTTTCTTTTACCTTTATATGTCTACCAAAAGTCCTTCAAACTGCTGTTTCTAAATCTTAATAATAACCAGAACTACTTTGGTTTGCCAAGAATAGTGGGGCCATCTAATCACACGACTAGAAATAAAACATTACGAGTCTCAAGGCAACTCAAGACAGGTTTCGTATTATCCAAATAATCATTACATGAAGAGTAACCGCTTTAAAAAAAGACTAGTAAACTGTTCTAGCATAACATGTTTGGTAAGTGTAATGAAGGGAAGGGGGAGTGAGTTCAGTGATGCCAAGTTCACACTACATGGAAAATCTCCTCAAATACAGACACACATAATGGACAATGAATTAATAGTCTTATGAGTTGGTATATCATTTGACGTGTATCTGATCTACCAACCAGCACTTATTTTAGTAACAAATATTAATCTTTGGTCCACCTTTCGTTCCCAAACTCTTTTTCCACTGAGAGAGCAGAGCAACAACAGAAGCTGAGCGAGTTGAGACGACCAAATGTAAAGTCTGTACGGAATACAGTTTATCTTTATGGATTATATTGATGCCGAATTCACAAGACATATGACGCCTTTTAGAGAGTTTCTTGAGTTACATTAGGAATTGTAAAGGTCATATTTGGGATGGGTGGAGGGAGCTTTTAGTTATTTTTAAAGTGCAAATATGTATCATTGTTAGTGTTCTGTTACCACCACAGGATCTACAGAAGTGATTACTCCTTCTTGTAGTAGATCTTGTAGTGATCAGTCAAGTAGAGTGAAAACCACAACTTCAAGACTCACAACTACAAGACAGAAAGTTATATAGTGTGAACAGTACAGAAACAACTTTAAAATTCATGTAGTGTGACCAAGGCACAATGCAATATGTGTTTGATAGTGTTCAATATATTATAGTTATTCAGTGTGTAATTGTTGACTTGGGCGTCTACCTACCCAGGGAGCAGTTGCTCTGCATGCGACCATCAGTAGAGCAGCGCAGCATTGAACCAATGACACGGCCACCCACTAGGACCACCCGCACGTCACGGCCATGCGACTCCTTGACGTACTCCTGAAACAGGTAGGGGGTATCGTGACGGATCAAGTGGCACAGATCTGTCAGGTGATGTTTGTCCCGTGCCAGGAACACAGCCTTGCCTGGGAGAAGGAAGGAAAGAAAGAAAGGTGAGCTTTTTTTCTTTTTTTCCCCAGGCTGTCTGGATTACTTGACGTGTTTATATTAACATAATAATAAGATGCTCGCAGGGTCTGGTAATATTGTGCTGACAAGAAGCTTCTTCTGCTGACCAAGTCTCATGCCAGTTCCCATTTCTCATATAATGGATAGGACGCTCCTCTTAGCAGCAGAATTGCTTCTCACAGAGGATAGAAGACGCCTGTTTTAATTAGCACCTTTTGGCTCAGTCTCCTGGTTGTCAAGCCCTCTAACCCCTGTTCCAGCACCAGGGAAAATCATGTGCTTGCTTGTGTGTGTGTGTGCACATTGTGTGTGAGTGACAATCTCAACAAGATGACAAGGCAATCCCTTGGTAACATCATGAAGATGCGAAGATGGACAGTGGCAGGCATGATGTAACGCTTTACAAGTCAAAAACAAGACAGGCGAGGAATCATGGTCCTGTGACTCAGTGAGACATGTGAACATGACTACGTTGTTACTTACTTTGTTGTTTGCTATGTTGTGTGAATTAGAATATTTCACATCCCAACAACTTACCAGGAAGAGCACATGAAATTTAAATTTGGGATCTAGTATGGACCTATTAATACCAATGATTCTTAAGATTTTGAAACAGCCCTTTGTATTTGTTCACAGGCCTCATTTGCTCATGAGAGGGAAGGCAAGCTGGACTTAAGCCAATGTCAATGGTCAACCGCAGAGGGGAAGAAAGCAACCCTTGAGATGCTGAACTCCATAAAAAAGGGCCAAGTTAGTTGTTGACCAACGGCTGCTTTCCATAACAATGCCATGTGATGACATCCTGGGCTAGCCAAAGTCCTTTGTTATTCCTTCACACAATGGCAGTGCCGGTCAAGTGTCGATAACTATGAATGGGAGAGGGATAAAGGCACTGGGGCTTATCTCTTAGAACATTAATGACAAGGCTGAAACTTCCCACACAAGCCCCCTGTAAATTCAAGCAATATGATGAAACTAACCTAACAGCCACACTGCAAGCATTACATGCCTCTGTTTTGTTCTGTTTGTTGCAGCACCACAGTCCTAATCATTTAACACTCTGTCAATGAATTTCATGTAAGGGTGGACTAAGCTGGTTTAGGGGCCTACAGTGTACACATTTTTGAGGTGTGGTGTATTGAATTCATCCGGTGACAGGAAGAAATAGCCTGATGGTCTTACCTCTGTGGCCACGTGCATTCTTCACCACCACGGGGTAGCCCAGAGGCTCCGCCTCGTCAATCATTTTACGGAAGTTGTCGTGCCCTCCTGGGAAACGCCCATGCACACAAACACAAGGCAGACACAAATCAGACACACACAAACATGCGCCCACACGGAGGTGTAAAATATATAAAAAAATTGTCCTTGTTTTGATAGCATAGTTCACACATTACAGAAGACCGAGCAGCGTTGGGGGGAGGGAATGCAGCCCGTTGCCATGGCAACAGAAGCAACAGGCAAGACTGTAGGAGTGTTGTCCTGAGCTTATACTTATTTTGCTGCTTGATTCATGAGATTGGAACAGAGCAGTCACTGAAGGAGACATTAATGTGAAGCAGCTGACCATATCTGACATTGATTCAGAATGGCAGCTTGTAGGAACAGCTGAGCTTCAGCTCTCTCTGATTTGGCTTGAGAAGTGCTTAAAAATTGTGTCAAAAATAATGAAAAATGTAGGTGTTAATAACTTATTTCCCCTTGCTCTCTCCATCTACACTTCCCTGCCTCTGTCTCTCTCTCTCTCTCTCTCTCTCTTTCTCTCCTTCTTTGTTTGCCTGTCTGGCCTAATCTGGCATTCAGTCAAGGGAACAGATGTGAACTACCCTGTCATACAGCTTTTTCCAGATGCGCTGATTCACATGTGTTTTCAGTGAGAGGGAAAAAGAACAGAGGGAGCGGAGGAGGGGAGAGAGCGGACAGCAAATGTGGGTCCAACCACGTCATGAACTGCTGAGGTGGAGAGCAAGAGTGAGGCAATGGCATCTTTTATTTTGAAAAATCATGAGGGGGCATGAGGTGGGGCGTTGGGAGGTGGAGTGGGTGTTACATAAACTCTCCAGCCGCTCTGCATGCATCGCCTGGCCTACTGTGCAGAGAGACGAATGGAATGTAGGCCAAACACCCCCTCCTCTTTCTTTCTTTCCCTCTGTCTGTATCCTTCTCTTTCTGCTCTCACAAACACTACAGCACTGTGGATTTTTGTAAAACAGAAAGAAATGTGTGCCGTTTGTTGTCAGTCTTTGTTTTGTCTTGTAAAAATCAACAAACTGCAACAAAATAAAAACACCAGTCTGGCTTGTGTTGTGAGGGTGTATTCACAGTGTACCCTGCCTTCATCAACAGTAGGTTAAAACCAGTGGTGTTGTGAAACTGATATATATAGATATATATATATATATATATATATATATATATATATATATATATATATATAGCGTACTGGACAGCTATTAGGATTTGACCAGGTATGTAAATGAGATTTTCTCTCTTTGTTTAAGTAATTGCAGTGGACTAGTTACGGGCTGATTGAGGCCTTATTAATCTGTGATACAGACACACATAGACTAAAGCTGCTGATGCAACTAATGTGATTGAAGTGTGTCCAAAAAAAACATACTTCCATTTGACCCTAGAAGTCAATTTGACTCCATTTGACCCTAGATAATGCGGTTACATTCCCATATAATTTGTTAATGTATAGTTACAGACAGTTGTTACATCTAGTTTGGTTCCTGTTATCTAAAGCTTGTGTTTACACTCTTTCACTTAATTTGACTAAAATACTAAAAGTCCTATCACTGACCTATGTTCATATTTTTTAGTAAACACAAATCTTGATGGAAACAGTTTATAAAGAAACTTTGCACTTTGAACACTTTGAAGCTGGGCTGACCATGTCTGTGGGACTTCTTATGAGAATATGTCCAGCAGGGGTGTGGTGACGGACACCAGAGCCATTTTATTCATATGCGTATTTGTGTTTAACACTTCTTTTATGTACTCTGCTCAGGGAATTACAGTCTGCATTCTGTACTGTGCATAGAGCCCCAAGAGCCCTATATAAAAGGGACAATAAAGTCCAACTGAAGGCCGGCACTTGTTGTCCGCACACTGAAAAGTAGATGTACTAATAAAGCCATTTTCAAATTCATTTTCATTTATGAACTGACATGCTGATTATAGTCATGGAGAAACACACCGCTTTCATACATCCTAGTTACAACAGTTCGGGGCTACCACAACACATCAACACTGTGAAAAGGATAAATGTCAAGTTGTGATTTACCGTAGGAGAAGGTGTCAGGAAGAGGCACCCCATGGCCGGCCAGCTCCTGAAAGGTCCAGAACTTGTTCACACAGTTGAGTATGGCCTGGGGCCGGTTGATCAGCCGACAGCCCATCTTCTCCAGGTGGCGCAGCACGGTGATATCGCTATCTGACTGCACCCAGGGCGTGGGCACCCGTACCACAACCACCTGTGGATAAGACGTCACCAATTCCTGCTCCACTCGCAGACCTAGACAAAGAAAAAAATATTTGTTAGCAATTGATGTTTGTTAGCCTGTGGATATACAAATACAAAGCAAAACCTGGCCTTTCATATTAGAAAGTGTCATTGTGTGTCACTGCTTTGAATCGCTGTGTACTCCCTAATCAGTGTAATGTATCCGAGCTCTGAGACCATCACATAATATCTTCCCATGTAATGTGTATGTCTACATGCATTTTCTTTTCTTTCCATCCCTTAGGGTCTGTGATCTGCTCATTTCTATTCTTGCTGTCACGAGTGTTTTGTTTTTCATCCTGTTCTCAAAAATGTAATAAAATATGGTGTTAAAAATGATATTTACAGTAGCTGGAAACATTGTGAATGTAGTTGGTGAGATTTGGAATCCATCATCTACTGGTGGAAAAGATTACTCCTGTTATGGAGACTGTTTGTGGACACCACATGGCTCTGACTGAGAGTTGGCCAGGTTACAGGACCAGGAAGAGCCAGCCAGCTCCAAGGTTTGTGGTGTTCACCCATGAATTTGTAAACTGCCTGGCCAGCTGATATGATTATTTACATGCTGCCTATATCCATACACAGTACTCCCGCCCCTCCCTGTTGTGCTGTCAACTCCTCTGCCTTTTTGGACCAATACTGTCTTCTCCTTTAACTGAGAAAGAGATATGCTTGGTGATACACTACCATGTCCCAATATAGGCAGTGGGGTGGGGAGAGATGACTGAAACCCCAAGGGTGCATATCTTGAATTTAATCACACATGAATGCACATCAGGGAGAAAGGCATGATTGGAAACACTTTATTGTATTCAACAAAATATTTGTTTAGCTGCGCTCTTTTTCAGACTTTTAGGATATTTTTGACACTCTAGTTTGCAGTTCCTTATACGAAACGGTGATCATGTTTGATCCTGTCACAATGCAAAATCATTGTCATCTAGTTACCCTTTTTTGAAATTCAAACTGACATGGGTTTTCGATGCGTCAGCCTGACACCACTTTTATTATGTAAATGTGAGCTAAGGAGATACAACAAGATCAGTGACCTATTCAGCGTTCAGTTAGCCTGTTATCTCTCCTTAGATCACATTAGCTCACAAGCCAAGGAAGACAGAGGAGACTTGACAAAGAGAAGCTTGTAGAGGATGATGGCAGGAATAAAGCTGGCGTGACTTAATATACACTAACTTTTCCACAAGGCTTAAAATGTGGCAAATGTCTACATTCACAAGCCATCTTCAGTCAATATCAACGGCTATCTGGATCTGCAGAACAGAGTAAGATTTTGAAATAACAGAATATTGGCTTTGCCAAACACAGATGGCAAATTCTCTAGCCATAGCCAAAGATTTGGCAGCGTTTTACTGGTGACTGGTGTTACTTTGTCACCCTGGATGAGAAGAGGAAACAGAGACAGACTGCGAGATTTTTGAGCAAGCGATGCGACCCAGCAGCTCATCAGGAAGAACAGATTGGGTGGAACAAAAATCTGTGTGTGTACGTGTGGGTATGCACACACATATATGTGCGGGAAAAGAGGAGTCCAGACACATTTATCACTGGCACAGCACTTCACCTCTACCGTGACCTGAATTCCAGCCATCTTAGTATCGGCAAGCTCACAATAGTGACAGCACCACTGGCGGAGATCATGAGGGGTCACGAGAGGCTTGGTTGCTGCATACGTAATAACATCAGACAGACAGCTATTGGTGTGCTGGCAGATGCGCTGTGCGACAAGCACACACAATGGGTGGGACCAACACTTGGCTTTAGGGCCAGGTAGAGAGGGGATCAAGAGAGAGGCAGCAGGCAGAAAAGGTTGGGCATGTCTTGTAGCCTTAAAACTGAGGAAGGGAGGGAGGGGAGGGGGAAATGGAGGCGCATGAAAAAAACGAGGATGAAGCCATGAAAAGACTGCCACCCCTCCCTTTTTCTCCTCCTCCTCCTCCTCACAATCCCAGTATAGAAGCAGGAGGATTCACTGTATCTCCAGCCCTATTCAACGCTCTCACACACTGATCTGATTGTGCAGAGAGAGCAGTGTATAAGTGGTGTTACAGTGGGAAGTGTCAGGGGATGTGGTCTCATGGTTTTTGACAGACAGTATTCACTGTTCACGGTGCTTGTCTCCATCTCTAGGGGAACCAAACAGAGACCAATGAGGCAGCCAGATGAATCAGTCCTATTCATTTGTGCAAGTGTTCGTGTGCACTGCACTGCTCGTCATGTGACCACTGCAAAAACATTCAGAAACCCTTATTGACCGTTTTGGTGTTTAACAAAGGCAACATAGGTTTATGTGTGGTAATATCTACATTTTCTGTGGGTGTGGCCTGTTTATAGTTACAACTTTACTTCTCCGACAGGCCATAATGTTTTGATGGCTCAATAGACTGTATATGCGCATCCCATTTTCAATCTGCCTGACAAAGCTAACAAGCATAACAGGCATTCTGTGCATACCGCTGCAACGTCACAAAGCAGGCGATGCCGACAATCGCTGTGCCAGTGTTTGGCTGGTGAGTCCTGCCAGCACTGAATGCAGTCTGGGCCTGGGTATTCTGCCTAAATTAGCCTGTTGGGGCAGCAGGTTCCCCACACGGTTGGTTTGGTTCAGTTTTGGCAAACAATGCCTTCAGTGGTCTATTTATATATCTGTCATCGGTGACACACATCAGACAAAAACGTGTACTGTAGACCTACTGCGAGGCCAAGCAAAAAAAAAAAAAAAAAAAAAGATCTTTTGTTCATCAAGCACAGAGGCCATGTAAACCTGCATATCCTCTGTGAGTTAGCCTGCGTACTGTACAGCTGATGGGTACGTTGCCATTTACAGTACCTGAACCGACTGAGGCAGGCAAGACATATCATGAGACAACAAAAATATTTTGTAAAGGCAAAGGCGGAAAAGCCTCTGCCACTGAAGAATTCCCAAATTACTAACTTAAACTCATATCACACTTATAACAGTCATATTTTAGTCTGGTTTAGGGGTTGCAAAGTATTTCTATATTCCTGGTAACTATATTTCAGATGAGATTTAGCATGGCCATGTTTTGATGCTTTAATATGATGACACCCATTTCTGTTATTCATTTCCCACCCATTTCTTAACCTGTGATTTAGTATGTCCCAAAATACCTAGTAACAGATACATATATTTGTGTAAAACAAAGTAAATTATTATCAATACTTGAGTAATGCAACCTGTTATTATCAGTTTTGTTGTTGTTGGGAATAGAAGAGTAAGTACTTGGGTATAGTGGCAGAATGAGTTCATACACTCTCTTGCCAAGCCTTACTCAATGCCTATTTTTATATTTTTGACATAATGCTGGGTAGGACATATTTTGTATTCACCAGCCACAGTGGCTGGTATAAACAAAAAAATAAACCTCTGCTATTTTAACTGATGTTTCTCTGCCATTTCAAAATGATTCATCATTATCTGCCAGAGTGGCTGGAGATCCTGGCAACGTGGTCAACAAGTTTTTTGCTTTCTTGCTGCGGTCATCTTTCTAACCTGACACAGCATTGCTTCTCTTGTGGGGTGTGTCCATTTATGTGGTATGACAGAAACATCAGAGAATAATGATGCATCTTCATTCTCTCAATATTTGTGGTGTTTGTGGTCACTTGTAGCCTATTCCCACCACATTTTTTTACAGCGATGCAGCAACATTCAGCATCAGAAACTATGAACTTTAGAAGGTTTAGAGTCCAGTAATCATAGAGCAGACGCTGTTCTCTTTGGCTACTGCAACTATGCAAATTGCAAACGCAAGTGCTCATTTGCGGTATGACCATATATAAAAAGAAAGGCCAAACATTCACAACAACATAGTCAGATATGGTATGGAAAGATGTGCCAGCCTCTAACGCCCTAATAAGCATCTGCTATTCAAGGAAGTGTTTTCAGGTACATCAGTAACAGTGAAAATGATTCTGCAGGGTGTGTCAGTTAATGTTGTTATCACTGACTGATGACAACTAGTAATAACTTGGAATATTTATATTTATAAGTTGTCTTGTCTCGTGTGGAATATGTACTTTAATGTACACTCCTATGTGTGGTACCGAATAACTTAGGTTATGTGGTTACAAGGTATACATATACTGCACACACACACACACACACACACACACACACACACACACACACACACACACACACACACACACACACACACAGAGAGACAGCAAGGACTGTGAGCCTCTTTGACAACACTGATAAAATGGAAACAAATGGGTTCAGGCTGCATGTGATAAATGAGAAACTGCTGGCTAACTGCTGAACAAGCTGTTGTCTTACTCTCTTTACTATCTTAAAACTGTATTTTCTAAGCATGGATCTGTTGTTTTGCGAGAAAACCCAAAGTGTGGAGTAAACAACAACAACAGTGGGATATATTTTTATATGAATTATTACTGTGATCAACTGATATTTTGTCAAGGCAGGGCAGACAATAGAAAATAGACAATGGACAATTTCTACCTCCATTTGCACTGTTTACTGTAGCTACTGTGTTAAGTTAATTTTATTTTTATTTTATTTTTAGGGTTAGGGTTTTTAATTTTAGTTTAATGTATGTAATGTATGTTTTGTATGCTACTGGATACTTGAATTTCCCTCGGGATAAATAAAGTATCTATCTATCTATCTATCAAGACCCTTGAAAATCTCTCGAATTTACGGCATGATCCAGCTTTGTTACGACATGTAAAAAATAAAATCAAAAGCTATGTCATACTGCTGATCATTAAATAGTCTAATGTCTTATAAAAGTCAGTCTGTGCTGCATACAAGGATTGGCATTAAAGCTACAGTATCTCGACCCCATGTCATTGATGCTGGTACACACTCACATGTCTGGTGGTAAATTACTGAGCCTGCCTTAATGTTCCATCTTCCTGTTCATTGACACGGGAGTGTTACATTTATCATCTTTGGGGTAAAAGTGTGCCCACTTGCAGGCGCAAGGATCACAAAGGATTGTAACATCAGTTCATATCCGGTCTCTGTTTAAACGTCTTGCAGCGCGAATCATGGGATGTGAAATACCTCTAGCTAGCTGAACGCTGGGTTTGGCTGCCTTATGTGAGGGGCCATCATGGGTCCTTAAAACATTATGGTGTGTGTGCAAGTGTGTGCGTACTCATCTCTCCTCCACGTTGAACCCATTAACTTCAGTGTGAAATGTGGACCTCAACCTTACTTGAGAACACACAAATGGGCCAAAAGCATGAGAAACCATTTGAAGTAGTAGGCTGTAAAGGTCTTATCAGTTTTAGGATGGTGGTTGCATTCTGACCTACCTTAAAACAAATACTACATGTGTAAGAACTTTTTTGGTTTAGGTGGTTAATGCAGCATCCCTACCAGTGGAAAGCTTATCTTTGAACCTGTTCTGGTATCAGAGTCCTCTTTTTAACATCTGTCTTCAATATGATTTATACTTTGAAATTTGGCACAAAATGTTTCCTTATACATAATTTCTGAAACAACTTGTTTAATTTATGTAAAATTATGATCATAAATGTCAGATTCATATCGATTTTATTTAAATGTAAATGCCCCCAAGACAACAGACAGTAGTGCTGAATAAGTAAGCACTTAAAGAGGTGGTCAGTGACCACAAAAGCATTATTGATCACATAATAGTGAAATACTACTAAGGTTTCCAATGAAAAAAAAAAAACAGGATCATAAACACTTAAAGATCTTGTCTCAGTCATTGCACATGTAGTTGTATCACCTGATGTTTAGAAATGCCTTAACTCGCTTCGTGCCACTGGTACAGTACACTTGTGCTAATACACATTAAGTGAACACGGCCTGCATATAACAAGAGATTAGCAACTTCATTTTGCTACCAGACAATACTGTTGGATTTTGTTGGAATGTACCTTCTGCAGTCTGTACGTAAATTAAGTGTGGGTAATTCATACATAGAGAAAAGCTGCAGGGCAAGTATGCACCTCACAACCCCAGCCACAGAGCATGTACTCTTCAGCTTCCTGTCTAGCAAGCTGACAGCGTGGCCAATCTGTCCACTGGCTGTTAATCTTTGATGTCAAGCCAAGGCTCAGAAGACATTTACAGTATGCAGACTTGGGGCCAGCATGGATTACAGGTCATCCTAACTGCCCTGCTCCAGTTGTGTATATCTTGCTAAGCCATGGGTCTAGACAGCCGTCTACTAACCTATCTTTGTTGGACAATCTAATTTTCTAGATAGATGTATTTGGCATTTTATGATACCTGTAGATCGACCCATTCTTTAGGTTGAATCACACAGCCATGGTAGAAAAAAAGCTGCACTTTGAAGTATTTTCCATGTGGTTGGTGTGTATAAATGCCACAAATAGCCACCTGTATTGATGTTCACATGTAATTATTTAAATGCCATGCCTTCCGCTTTAATACTGACTGAGCTGATGTAACAGTATGTAGTCTGCGAGGGACGTGCTGCCCAATCACAACCCTATTCATCCACACATCCTGTCCCAACTATTCAGCCTCTGCCAGTGCCAGCCTACACCGTTTATGTGTTAATTGAGACCTACACACCTCTCATCTGGTGACATGGCCCCAGTTCACACTGCTTCGACAAATTCCATGTGTGACTGTTTGTTAAGAGTTCCTACTGTTACCATCACTTTATCAAGGCCTCCTGCGTCAATACTGTGAAATGTTGTCAATTCATCACAAGCAGAACACAAACAATGTGTTCTGGACAAAGCGGTGCCAAAATGACAACAAAAGATTGAAGATATGTCATTGTGACATAATAACACAGATTAGGTAAAAACCCCTCATATATATATATATATATATATACACACATGTGAGTGGGTAAAACATAGTGAAACTGACACCGTAGATCAGGGGGATACATGGTGAATTGATTCCAGTTTAGATCATGTACTATTTCACCAAGCAACAAAGAGCTCCTGGTTTGGGGTTTCCACAGACACATGATTTCCTTATTGTTTTCCTTCCCTTAACATGAGTAGTTTTTTTTGGCTTCTGCTTAGAGACTATGATCTAATTTGAGTGCTGGTAACATCTGATACACATTAAATCATTACCTTTGAGATTTTATACAGAAAATATTTAAATGATCACTCAACTCAACTACTTTTACATGTGAAACACGTTAATATATCTTTTTTTTCCTGGATTATTTCGAGAGGAAATCTGCCTGGCTTCCACATGACAAACGCCCCCCCCCCCAGCACCCGGTTAACATGTGAGATAACCCCTGCTACTGCAACCGTAGAGCAGCGCAATGTGCAGTAAAATCACACCAGTGCAATTTGTTTCCACTAATAAATGCCTATGATCCAATGCTTCTGTAATATAAAACCCCGATCTCCCTGTTGCTTTGGTACTTAAAGTAAATCTTATCACCCGGGACGTTGTTGTTGGGACTGCAACGTGTTCAGCGAAATTAAATCAAGCATCATCGCTCCCCGAGGTCTGGAGGCAGTCTAGCTGGAAAGTGGGTTAGGCGGTCACGGCTGTGTGGTTACACTTCGCTTCCTTGCTAGCGGGCAGGCAGACTGCTTTACGGCAGCGTATTCCCCAAACAATGACACCCCCCCCACCACCACCACCACCACCCCATGCCGCTACCTTTGTGGAGCGCGTAGAGCTCAGTTGAGCCAAAATAACCCGAGTTACACTGCACCATTACCTAAACACAGTCTATGACCACACATCGGCTGCTTTGATACTTGCCTAATTGTCCCTCGCTGATCGTGAGCACGATTTGATCCATGAGAAGAGAGCGGAATTCAACATCCTCGTCGGCGCAGCGCTCCTTCAGCGCCCGGAGGATCTGAAGTTGGGGATATTCCTGGCTGATACGCCGGTCGGTCACGAACCAAACTCGAGAGCACATTTTCCTCTTCTTTTGGTGGTGGGGGGGGGATGCGTGCAAGTTGGAAAAACAAAAGATCCCGCTGAAAACACACAGTTGTGGGAGGCGGCAGGTGTGTGTGTGTGTGGCAGCGAGGGCTCCGGGGGTCGGGGGTAGAATAGCACAGAGATGCTCACACAATGGAGACCTCTCGGCGGCTACGAGCAGGCTGTGATGTGGCTACGAAAACAGCCCCACGGGTCAACCGTTGTCTGGACCGAGCCGGCTAGGATGAATGATCTTCTTTATCACCTTTGTTTCTCTTCGTATGCAGCCATTTAGTCTTCCCGAGGCGCAGTTAGTTGAAGCCGGACCGCGCGGTTTCGACACAAACGAGCCGAATATAACGGTATGTGTACCCGTAGAAACTGCCTCTCTTTCAACACGAGATGTAGCTCGTGGCACTATTTGCCCGCCGGGGCAAACAAAGCTCAAGCGGCGCCGCTTTATATCTTCCGCCTGTCGACTCAAAACTACCAATAAAGTTTTCCCGCGATCGCAGCGGTCGTGGTGGCGTCGCAAACCGCAAAAGTAGTCGGTTTGTTACAATGAAGCTAACCCCACAACGACTGCCCTCTTTGCTCCGTTTGGCTGCTATCCACAAGGTGCTGGTGCTGAAAAGTGCACGCGCTTCTTTTTACAACTCCACTTCTCCGCCTGCCCGTGCACATTAAAAAGCGGGACCTGCCCCAAAATAAAAGGTTTGGAGGGGCGTCAGCCAATCGCAACTCGCGTGCTTTGTCATTGTCCAAACAGCGCAGGGCGTTGTGGGCGAGCCGCGACCACCCCAACCAATGAGGGGACGTTTAAGCGGCACGAAGGGGCTGAGCCTGGGGAAGGGCGCGCGTAGTGCTGCGTGAATCAGTGCGTGGTGTCTGCAGCACTGCGCACGAGACCGCGCACTTTTCCCGAACCGGTTCAGACCAGACGGTGCGAGGAGGTTTGGAAAACCGACAACGCTGTCTCCATGCTGGAGTGGCAGGAGATGAAACAAGGTCATCACTAAACCAAAGACACTACCCATCATTTCCCTCTCATCCCTTCTGTATCCAGCTCTAAAGTTTGAGGCTTTCATTACTATTACTATTATTATTATTAAATAACTTTCTATTTAGACAATGGCTACTGTAGAGTAGTGCCACCCAGGGGCGGTCGAGCTGAGCAGAGGGAGAACACTTCCATGTGATAATGGTGAGAAATTATGCGAGTGACCCACTTCTCTTGATCTCTTCCTCTGTGTGTGTGCTAACATAATTGGTGGTGCGATTAACACAGACAACCCTGTTACACATATTTTTAGATTCAGTGGGACTTGGACTAGAATAACGTCCTTAAATCCGCGAGGGGAAAAAAGGGCGCTCCTTGTAACCCCCGGACTTGCCTGAGAAACATCGTGTTTTTAAGTTTGCTTCAGTGTAAAAGTAATTCAGTGATAGATATCTGTATAAAAATGGGTAAAATGCATACAGGAACTACTAATAGCTAATTCGGCAATTTTTAAATGGTGCTACTTTGAAATGTAAATAATCCTAGGCTAAAAGCAGACCGCTTACTCGCTAACTTCATGGCCATATTGTATTTCCTGTTTATAGACCCTAAAGCATTATGGGAATTGGAGTTCCAAAAAATTTGAGCACGCTTTCCCCGGGAAAAACTAAGCCTGATTTATAACCTACTTTTGTGTTCCTTTGAGACGCTTCAGTAGACTCCTGGGTGTCAAACCTCAGCTAATGAACCTCGTTAAATGTCTTAGAGGCTTTAAATCACTGAACATTAATGTTAGAAGAATGTTACAGAGCATACATAAAAGCTAATTATACAAGCAAACCTACAAAACTACATTATTTCCACATTGTTTCTCTGGTGAATTCATGGATGTAAATAAGAGTTTTGATAAAAGATTGCATTTAACTCAGCGGGTGCCACAGCGCATGCGTAACTTCTCTGGGCGAGTTCTCGCGAGGGGTGGATCCCACATCAATGAGAAAAAATTATAAAGTTACGTGACTCAACAATAAATTCTTCGTATCTCTTATTAACATCATAGTAAAAGGCTGCGTTGATCTAACACACAGGCTACATATGTAGAAGTAACAGGTTACGGGGTGGTTTCACCATTTTGTTATGATCCTCCCAATCACATCCCCTCCAGATATTACTCATACTGTACTTAACGTTACACAAGACATGGACATAGCCTCAAACCTAGGGATGAAAATGGAAAAACCTCAATGTTTGCCTTAAGAAGTTGCATGGCTGGTTATTATGTTTTTTAGTCTGCCTCCTTTAGCATCCTCTGAGCTGTGAGCTCAGCACACTGCAACGTCGGCGAGCCAACAGGATCAAACCGGGCAGAGCCAGTCGAGCTGCCCAATCATCACAGAGTAGGGGGGAAGGCGCCGAAGTAGACACATTCCTCTTCATGAACGTCGCACAGTCAACAACACACAGACGTTTTCTGCTGCAACACCAAAAACAAATCTCCCTTCTTATTTGTCATGTTCACCGCATAAACACAAACCACATATGTTTTACTGTGAAGCTGCTGTAACCCTTGTTACACTGTAGGGATGTATGTTTTACAAGCGCTGGAAAATCCTTGACACAGACGTGGCTCCCTGCAGGACTGTTAAAGTAATGGTTTTCCTTTTGAGATGTAGTGTGAAAATGAAGTAGAAGTGGCCTCTTAAAGCCTTGACTTCATTTAGGCCTGCTGTATAAAAGCCCATCAGTGTTTGCATAGACAATCAGCACAGAAGATTGAACTAATAGCTGTTCACTTTTTGTCATCAAGAGGTGAACAAACATTTCATTGTTGTTGGCTGTGAGGTTATTTTAGGCTCCAGGGGTTGCATTTAGCAAGGAGGAGCTATTAAACGACTTAAAAGACAAACAGTGTTTTTCATGTGGCTATCGTTTCCAATGTTTAAGTACATTTGAATGAATGCAAAACACAGATAAGTGCACATGGAAATAGCTTTAGGCTTCATTAGGTTGTTAAAACTATGGCAACACATTGTCTGAGGTTAGAGAGTCCTCTGGTGGTGGACTCACAGATTACAACAATTGATCCAGAGGAAATTCAAAGATTACAGTTACTCTTCTTTTTACTTCTTAATCATAATGTTTGAAACTTTAAAAGAAAATAAAATAAAACACACACACAAACACACACACACGCACACCACATTGTTATTAACTTGATCAAATGATTATTTATCATTTTAGAAGTGTTCAGCATTGATCCTGTGCTGTTGTTATAGCAGTTTTTCAGCATTAAAGTGTTAAAATCTTTCATTTCAAGAATGTAATTAATGTAAAACTTTAACTTCCAGCACTGCATATCGCTGCTTTGACAATCCTCAAACTCCGTGATAAATATTTCAGTAACCCTTGCAATCTCCCCCACCGTCCAGACGAGTGCAGCACTGAGTTGTTTCTAAACCGAACACTGGTAAAGTATGGATGGAGCCATGTGATCAACTCACAGACAGAACCACTCGATTTGTTCCAAGCCTGACCTAATTTAGTGTTATTAAAGTATTGGGGAAGAAATTCTAAGAAAACTGATCAAAAATGTCGTCCTGCTTATAGTTGATTTAACAGCCGAATAATGGTGTTTGCAGGCAGCTTAAAGATCCGCCTCCAGACTTACAAATACTCTTCTTGGAATAATAGGCTAATTAATTTGTGTCTGATATGACCCCCCCCCAAAAAAAAACCTTGTTAAAAAACATTTACATTACATTTACTCCTTCTCCCTTATTAAAAAAGCGACTACAATAAAAATAAAAATATTTAATATAAAAGTTTTACAAGATGTCTCCTACTTCACTGAATACCAAGTTCTCTGTATGTGCATTGGAGGTTTCACGTTTCGGCATAACATTAGCATAAATTTCATCCTGGACCACGATTGGTGGTTTTCAAATTAGTTGTGATGTCATTAAAACATGCTTGTTATAAAATTAAAGTGAGCAGAGAAACTTTTCCTCTTCAGCAGTTCCTTTTGTACACTGAAGGTCAAACATCCAAGTGAAGTGCTGGGGGACTTTAATGTAAACCTAGCATATTCGGTGCTGAGGGGAAAGCCTGTGTGTTACTTTAAGATATAAATGTAACTCAAAATGTGTATTTAGAAGCAATATTTACAGACAAAACATAAAACCAATTAACATAACACTGCATTGGTTGTATATGTGTATCTGGGGGATACAGTTGTTTGTGTGTTGTGGTTGCAGGATTAAATCCCGCTCATCTTTTACATGTCTTAAGGGTTTTAAAGTGAAGGGAAACTGTGTTCAACCCAAATACCTGAAACACCAACACAGCCAGCACTGCAGCAACAGTAATGTAATGCAAGACTAAACACTGAAATACGCATCCTTGAGACTGTGTCAGCTTACGAGGTAAAAAACACCAAACGAATCACTGCACTGTGGCTGGAAATCTTCAGCTTCAACAAGCTGCTCTGACTGATCACCTGTCCAGGTCCTTCCATTTAATCCACAAATTACAGTCATTCAGCCTAACTGAGGAACACCTCGACTGTAACAGATAGGACTCAGACCACAGGCCCCAAATTTGTTGAATTCTAATACCACTGTGCTGTTACACTAAATGTCACTAATTTTCAGCAAATGTTTTGTTGCACTTTGAGCAGTGTGTAAATATCATTATTGAACTCTTAGGATAATTCTGGGTTTTAGGTATCTGGATATCACACAGACAGTGTTTTCTAGTTTCACCCCTTCAGGAAACTAATAAAAATCACTGCCATGTTTTAATATTTTGTCATAATGATAATCATCCATCCAGCCCAATACATGATGATGATAAGATATATAACAAATACATAAACCTAACATCATATGAATGTGTCATATTATTATTATTATTGTTGTTATTATTATTATTATTATTATTATTATTATTATTATTATTATCATTATCATTATTATTATATCTTGGGGATTCATGCCAAACACAGCCAAATTACAGCCCATGCGATGTCCTTGTAGAATCTCATTAATATTGAAATTGGGAACTAGTTGAATGGATGTGATTTCATTTTTCCTATTGTGGTGCATGAATTTATCTTCAACGTGCTCCGGCTGGCGTTGGAAGTAGTTCCGGTGGTGTAGCAGCCGAGCGGAGCACAGAGACCCGGGATCTTCGTGCTGCTGAGCGCAAACGCGAATAGCGGGTCGAGTCCTCCTGTCATGACTGTCGAATGACCACAGCAGCGGTCAGTTTGACGCCTGCAGAGCACCGTGCATGCAGCCGGACTGACAGCGCCGAGGCACCGCCGGAGCTTTTGTCTTCGAGGGGAATTTTCAAGTGCAGAGAATAGGCGTCTGGAGCAGAGTACCAAAAAAAATTGAACCGGTTCATATTCACCTACGACGGTGAGTAGTCTGTGCAGAAGAATTTTTGAATGTCAGTCGCGAAGATAGTGACAAATAGTGCTTTTGAAAATGAAAGGAGTGTTACTGAGGGGCAGGTTTTTACTTAATGGCAGGGTATGACATTAAGTTCGCCGCCTGTCACAATATGCACGCCTGCAGACACTGTAGCGTCCGTCTTTACGCCAAATGCCAGTCAGATAAAAGTCAACTTATGTTAAGTTTTGCAATAATAGTCTCATGGCACCGTTCAGACAGCGGGGTTGTTGGGTAACAGGCTGGGAAAGAAAGTGGTGTTTATTAAAAACAATGATCCTAAGTGGTGAATCGTGGTGGACGCGCACATATGCAGGAGACGGTGCCTTGCACAGCTGAAAACACTTTTGAAGTGATAACAGTGGACCGAGCAGCAGTCCGAGCTCAGAGGGGACCGAGTTCCACATTCATGTGTCCCTGTCGGTAGCAACGTACTGGTATGGAGGGGCACATTATTCTTAAAAGTGGGGGAACCGACTACCGAGTTTAAATCACATTGTTGTTGGTGATTGTTGTGAGCAAAAGCCGTATCAGAAGGGAAATAAGGCAGGTCACTTTAAATAATTAGCTTCAGGGTTTTATAAGATTTAACTAACTTTGTCTCACAGTAGGCTTATAACATATTGTCTATAGGTTTATATATAGAGGCTTTTGAATACGTGCCAAGGTGTCATTAACACTTTGACATGTGTTCATTGGTGTTCATGACTGATGTATTTTTGTTTTACTTCTGTATGTGTACATTGGTGTATTCCTGTGTATGTATGGATATATGGATGTACAGTGTGTTTTTATGCAGGTAACTATGCCTGCATGCATCATGTCACGGTTATCATTTAGCACACTTTTTAAAAGGATGTGTAATGTCCTTGTGTCTAGTTTAGGACCATTTATAAAGGGTTTATATATAGAATTAGGGTTTCACTTACCAAGTCAGATTCACTCCATACAAACTGGTGTTAACATGTTGTTGATATAATTGACAGAATTGACATGTTGAGTGAAACATCTTAACAGTTAACTAATGCCGACAGAAGACACTCTAACTTGCTATAAATGAAGTTGAGTGCCTATTTGTCCAGCAGTGCATAAAGGTCACTTTTATTTGCAGTTTTCCAGTGAACAGAGTTTGTTGATAGAGTGGTTATCCACTCACCCACTATGGATTTTTATTCCATAGGCTGCCTCAAAAGGACCAGTGTAGTCTCTTTCCATAAAGACACCATAACCTTACCATGAACGGAGACTTATCTTATACCGTAGTAGGAGTCATTATCTTTGATCATCCTGCGGAGGTATGTGTGTGTGTGTGTGTGTGTGTGTGTGTGTGTGTGTGTGTGTGTGTGTGTGTGTGTTTTGGGGCGACAGACTGAGAAAGCATTTGAGAGAGAACCCTACTCCTGATTTGGATGCACCTCTAATTCCTATCAAGATGAGAGCTGTCTGAACAGATTTCTCTCATCATTATTTGCTCTGAGATTTACTTGCGCTTGTAAATGGTGTTGATTGAGGGTAATTTGGCTTTTTAATTGCTGAACAGCTGCCACACTCACTGCTGATTGCCATTGTAGACTTTCTCAGTAGATCACTCATAGACCCCTAAATGCCTCATTAAAACGTTATGCAGAATCGCATGAAACGTGAAGAGAAGGAACCCTCATAATGTTTTACTGATTTGTGTTTTATCATTGGAAAGGTCGTCGTAATTATCGTCAATGTCAGCAAATGCAATGCTAAGAAACGAGTGTAGTAATGACTTTTTGAAAGTTGAATTAAGGGCTATTTGTGGATACGCTACATGCATTTCAGCTTCTTTGATAAAGATGAACTCCATATGCCAGTGTAACGGATGTTAGTTGGGCATAGATGAGAAAGACTCAGAGGACAGAGTTCCACTATTTATTCCTTGCTCACTGACTGCACGTATATATTGTCTCCAGGTTGGTCACTGCACATCTGGACCCTCATCGACACAAAGCCGCACTGTGAGCGCTTTTCTTTATTATTATAACAATAACAACACAGCAGTACTACACAACTGTGCCAGCACTAAGCCAGTGGTTGTACATTGTGTTCCCTATGTTTGAAAAGTATTAGCTGAGAGCTTTTTAACAGAATTTACATAAGGAAATGGCTGCAGCAATCTCCACAGGGTATAAAGTGACGAGGAACGCTATGAATAGCGTCTGGCCAACTTGAAACGGAAGCGCCTTCAGGACTAATATTAGTGGTCAAAATAACATTAAAACAGAATAATGTAAATCATATAGACGGTAAACAATATGCCTTAAAGATTACAATTTAAATGATTTGTTTATCACAGGAAACAGTAAAGTAGCACCAGAAGCGTTTCACCAGACAACTTACCCTCATCAATGCAAATCAGCCCTGCGAGGGGGGCTATGAAAACTTGGCAGGTACATTAAGGGAGATGTGCAGTCACTGAATTACTGCAGGTAAATAAAAATATCTCAGGCTCCTCAATGAGATGAAAGTCACTAATACTAAACACAATTATTAAATAATAAATACATTTAAAAATTACAAAATACTCATAAATAAAGCACATTTCAAACTCTGTTATAGCCACCCCCATTAAATGTTATTGAATTTAAGCTCCAACTACACAGTATGCACATGAGGACACACAAATTACAAAGGGTCGGTAAAATAAAATAAAAAACAACCTCAAGAGCATCCCATAGGGATAAAGTGGCGTGAGAGCATCACTTATCTCCCAATCAAGCTACTGACAATAGGGTGTCTTGGACAACCCACAAGACCCCAACACAGTGTAGTGCAGATCTATGAAAGAAGAAAATGTCGCCTTTGCATAACACTACTGGACCCATAAAGGGGTAGGTTGTCTGACTTAGGATTTAATTAGCAAAACACTTGCTTGCAAACAGCTTTAAAACTGTACTTCATCATGAACAACATCCTACATTGACACGGTTTGTATGAGTCTATTTATAGGCCACCAAATCTGACCTGTGTTTATGTATTGCCATGGCCACAGTGTGTGGGTGAGGTCTGATCAACAGTGTCCAGAGTGCTGTGTGTTGTCTGTCTGTGTGTGTTGTAGTGTCGGTGGCACGTCCGGCCTGTCTCACATGTACAGGAACATCTGCAGCAGTATCGATGTCAGTCACAGGTCTAGCGTCAGGTCAGAGACTCATCTGTCATCTGGTCTTCAGGGACGACTCACATGTGCTGAGGTGCAGAGGTCACACTTGTCATGTCAGTAACATGCGCTTGGTACAGACAACTGTGTAATCCGTTCCGTGGTTCTCCACAAGCTCCGGATAGGTCAAGGGGCCCTGTCCCTTTCTCACCTGTAACGGTGAGACAGGGACAGTTTCCACATTCCGGTTTCCCATTGGATGGTGGCGGGTTGTGTTTGATTTATTGACGCTTGAGACCATGAGGAGCTCACCTGTTAGCTGACTCTCAAAGTTAGCTCCTTATTCACTGTGGGTCCTCTCTGGGAATCCAATGACACATAAGTACTGGTCCCTCACCACCTGTGTAGCTGACTGGTCTTTACAGGTAAATACCTGAGCTATCTTCATAAAGTGGTGTGTTATCACCAAGATGTTGATCTAGTTGACGTAATGCTTTCCACTCTTCAGGTCTTTACTGACTGTCTTGCATCGCTGACAGTGGCATACCGAGTCTCTTTAATCTCTGTCCAGGTTTAACCAGAAAAACCTCTGTGTTGTTGAGCTGAGGCTGATATCCGGCATTGTCTTCATTCTTGAGCAAAATAGGGACAACAAATATTGTCTGGAACTGGAACTGCTTTGCCTTGGTTTCCTGGTCTCTCCCTTTTTGCAACCACTGGATAACCACAAGGCATTTTGGCCAGAAGTACTTGACATATCTTTGATTCTAGTGTTGACCACAAGGTGCTCAGCCAACAGTCTTGCCCATAAATGGCTCACAATCTCTTCTCCTTGTTCATGTCCAGGTACCTGTTGCTTTATGAGTTGAGTTTTATGTCAATCCAGTCCTGAACTGAATATTTGGCAGTGCCAGTGTCTGGAGCTCCTGGATCCAGCATACATGTATCAAGCTGATCTGAAGATCCAAAGGGTCACAGCACCAGTGTAACTGATGTTAGGTGGGCATAGATGAAAAAGAGTCAGAGGCCTGATTTGTAGCATTTATTTCTCTCTCTGCAGGACAATATAACACACACACACACACACACACACACACACACACACACACACAATGTATTATCTCCAGGTTGGTCACTGCACATCTGGACATCTGCATCTCATCAATGCAAAGCAGCACTGTGAGCACTTTTCTTTTATAATGTTTCAAGCAACACAAAAATGTTTCATAACTTTACCATTACCATATATACATATATATATATATATATATATATATGCTTGAGCAAATGATGGACCTATATGTATAAAATCACTTTTTTACACAAGGTAATGGCTGCAAAAGTCTCCTCAGGGTTATGTGAGTTACATTACAAAGTGGCCTGGCCTTGCTTCAAATTTAAAGCGCCTACCAAACTAATATTAGTAGTTGCAATAACACGAAAACACATATGTGTATAACATCAAAATATTAACAGCAAACAGTACGCATCAAAGGTTACATCTTAAATGAGTCATTTATCAAAGGAAACAGTAAAGTAGCGCCAGCAGTGTTTCAGCACACAGCTTACCCTCAGCAATGCAAAGCGGCCCCGCCAGAGGGGCTACGGAAACTCGGCAGGTACATGAAGGGGGGATGTGCATTGACTGGAAACTGCTGTAAATGAAAATATCTTAGGCCCCTCAATGAGATGAAATTCACAAACAGTAAACAAAATTATTAACTAACAAAATAAAAGTAAATATTTAGCTCTGTTCCATCAGTATATGAATCAGTCATGGCTGTCAAGAGTTGATGTTGTCTCCCTGCATATACAACTGTATTGCTTGTAATAATTATTTTTG